GCGCTCAGCTCGTTCACCCGCTCCGTCAGCCTCTCGTTGGCCACCTGCAGGCGAGACACATCGCCCACTAGGCCCTCCACGACCTCCGACAAAGCGGAGGAGGAGTCCTTAAGGGCCCTCACAAACGAGCCCTTAAGGTTCACAGACTTGGTGGCCACCTTGTGAATGACGGCCACCGCCGCTTTCGCCCTCTCCTGCACGGACACGGGAGCTTGGGGGGCATTTCCCCCCACCGGCTCCCGAACCTTGAGCAGGAGATCCGCGATCTCCTCCTCCGCTACGGCCTCGCCGTCCACCCGTACGTTCCTGTACGACTCCGCGTTTGAGAACGCGGAGCCTGACGGGGTCGAGACCGGGGCCGAGGCAGGTTTGCGTGCCCTCCCTCGGCGGCTGCTTGCCACCTTTGGTGGCATCATCTCCTGGGACGTGTCGGTTTCCTCGTCCCTGGAGCGTCCTCGTTTCCGGCTGTCGCTTCGCTCCGCCTCCATGGCGTCAGCGCCATCCGACGAAACGGCGGATCCGGAGCGCAGCCGATCTGATGCTCTTCGGCTCCCAGAGACCAGCGTCAGACTGACTTCTGGGAGCCCCATCGAGATAGGCGTTCCCGACGCTATCTCACCCTCCGTGGATGACCCATCCACTCCACTGTTCCTGCTCTTCGTCTCCTTGTCCGTTAGGCTTGCCTTTGTCTGTTGTTTGGTTGTTTCCGATCGTTTCTTGGTATTTTTATTTAAAGATTGCATAATTGATCCCACGAGTGGGGGAGAAATAAAGGTCCACCCGGGCAGAGATCCCCCATTACCCGGGCAAGCGTAAGTTTTTAACCCAACCGAGGGGTCCGCAGGTACCTCGGCTTGGAGTGCGCTCGCGACTGAACTTCCCATCAGCCATGCATCCCCTGGCCACACACCAGAACACGGGATTCGGGGAATTTTTTAGAGAGGTTATCTTCCTCGCGGTCCGGGCGGTTAAGCCAAGACCCTCGCCCCCGATCGGAGCCGCGAGACTTAACCACAGCGCTCTTCTCGGGATTACGATATGCCGACGGTTGACAGGGAGACTACGTCCCCCTGCCTGCTCGGTGGTAGTGTGAGTACACGCCGAGCCCGTCCTCCTTTCTCCACCGCTGTCAGCGGAGAAAACTGTGGCCCCTACAGGGCCCCGCCATCAGGTTTTTTACCGAGGTTTCCTCCTCCATGCTCCGAAGAGCGAAGAGTCAGCAGGGCAACCGGCAGACACGCCCACCCTGCTGGACCAGGCCTTGCCCGAGAGCCGATGAACGGCTGCCTCTTCTGCTAGAATATTGGCCGCTGGCGATAATCCTCTCCTCCAAGAGGACAAGGAGGAAACAGTACCATCGCCAGCGTTTCCAGGGTGCACCACGGGGAGGTTTTCTAGCTAGCACCCCTTCTAGCTAGCACCCCGACCTCTCTACCTCAACCCATCGCCGTATGCATTGATCAGGGTCCGGTAATCAGAAGCAATCAGGTGCGTTGACTTATTTAAATGCGTAAGTGATTGCGATGGAACATATGCACTCTCTCGTCCTCCCCCTTTTACGCCCAGTGGAGCTTACTGGAGAGGGGTTTGAATGCAGAAAATGGCCGACGAGCACTTTTGACCTCTGTCGTCGCCCCAAGCATTTCACACTACTTCACTGCCCCGCCGAACCCGTCACTACCGGTTGCTTATCGGCGTTGGTGTGCCATCTTCGCCGGGATAGATTCTACGCACAGAGCGGGAGGTGTCCACAAAACCGGTGCCAAAGCAGCCGGTCCCCTTCAGTGAGTTTAGCCCACGTGTCGACGTGGTTTACCGTGTGGTAGTGTGGCCACTACATGCGTTACAGCCACTTGGAGCCACCGGTGAGAGATTATGGGCCGCCACTCATTTAGTGAGTTACCTTTCGGTTGGCTAAACTACAGAGGTGATTGGCGCCCCACTACACCCCAAAGGCCAAGGTATGCAGGCGTCCACGGTACATCATACCTCGAACAGTTTTCTCTAATTATGTTATGTAAGTTTTGTGAATTTACTAAAGGATTTTATTAATGAGTTACATAGTTGAATAAATGATTTTTCCAAATACTTAGGTGTGCATGTTTTGTTGTTATCAATTACATTTTTCTTTAAACAAGAGGTTTCTGGTTTATTTTTCGTTTCCTTCACTTAAAGATCGGTATATTAAAAAAGACCACTTATTTTATGGCGTTAATATTTTTACCGTTTATAGAGCTCCTTGTATTACTAAATAAATACTACTGCATCTATCAATCGAGACGATGATGAAACCTAGGGAATATTAAGTACCTATACCTACTTACCAATCATTACTAAGCGTTGTAAGGCACATTTACAGAAGTTTACTCAGTATTCCAGAAACGCTAGTTTAAAGCTTTAAAACTGAGTTATTTTAGAATTAAGACCTACTTTAAGAGTGGGACAAGTCCAGTAGACGTTTCCTAAGAACGAATTTTGCGGCAATTATTTAATCAGTGGAACATACAAAAATTATTTAACAATTATTTAATCAGTGGAATATACAAAAAAATGAATCTGAATCTGAAATAAGGACCCTCGGAAATTTGTGGTTGGTGGTGAAAGTTCTTTTTTTGGTGAAAGCAGACCTGTAATCTGGCATGGAGATAGTTTATAAGTAAGTCACCTCAGTTAAAAATGGATTTAATGACAGTTGCGGATTAGGAAGGTCTAAAGAACTGTCATAGAACCATACCAATGGTTTTTGTTTTTTGTACTAGATACCTATTGCCACGGTACTATTATAATACAGTATTCCAACTTCATACAAACGGACGAAACGCGAGCTATACCTACGCGCCTCGATCTCGGGGTGCGCTCGGGGCGCAGACAGTCACGGCTGTACCGCAGTGTCGAACGGACTGTGTGTTGTTTTTTTAACAATAACCGCGCGATTTTTTCTCTAAAAATCAGTTAATATGACGAGTAGGAAATATTGTGCTGTTTTTGGTTGTATGAATTCGTCAATAACGCATCCAGACATAAGTTTTTTTAAATTACCTGAAAACTCTGAAAGGTAAGACTATAAAATAATTTTACTTACTAGTAGGTAGGTACATAATGTGTGTCTTTTTAATGGATAAGTATTTCCTTTTATCTCACGAAAAAAAAGGTGTTTGGGTTAATAAATAAAGCAAATAGAGTAACGGAAAGTTATTGAGACGAGTGAAATAGGTAGTGTATCAAAATTAATAGGGAGTGAATCAAAAAACAACACGCATTTTTATTGAACACTTCCTATTCAATATACAAAGTATTTCATTTATTTATATAAAAAGGATATTTACAATCACAAATCTAAATAGAAACAGAAAGTAGGCAAATGTAATTAAAATGCTGGAGACGGGCAGCCCTAACGCATGTATACGTACCGCGCGGCTGTAGGCATTTATTTCTATCATGCGGCCGAGTTACAATACTGTATTATAATTGTACCGTGCTATTGCGCTTACAATGGTTTTTGTATAGGTCCCGATTTAGGGAGTTTAAGGGCCTAACAAGGTTTTTGACCTCAACTTTCCAAAGTTCTTGAACGTCTTCTTAAAATTAACTTAACAACTTTCTTTTGAAGAACCGTCTTATAATTCCCTGTCAGTCTGGCTTTTGTTCAGAATACAGTTCAGTGTCGGCATTGTTCCACATTACAGATAACTGTAGAGAAAACATGGATAATGAAAGCGTAACATGTATTGTCCACATTTGAATTTAACAATTCAATAACATTAATTTCCATATTCTTCTCGTTGATCTCCCTCTGAACATATCTGCTGGGGCAATTAATTATTTTCACTATTAACTGTCTAGAACTCCGGATCGCATTCGTTTTGAATACTGCCTTTCTTTATAGTGCAATGCTACTGTTAGGGTACTATAGGGTGGCGTTCTATCTCCATTACTCTTCGAAATTTTTATTAATTCTATTTCTAATTATTTACTTTTATCCTACCATCTCAGTACCATCCAGTTCTAAAGTATAAATTAATGCCTTCATATTATAACCATAGAGATATAAGAATAGAGCAAGCCTCAAGGCGGAAACATATTTACGTGTCGTGGCGTGTCGTGACGCGCCAGAAGCATATTATCGGGTTCATACATTTATTAAGTTTTTTGCAAATTCCTTCCACATTTGTTCTTAAGGCGTAGGTATTACAATAGGCGTCATATTTTTTTAAATAGCTTTACTACTTTAAATCTTACAGTATAAAATCCCATGACATAGTTAAACGCTAACGATCGAATAGTGTCCAGTACCTAAAAATCTGAAAGAAAGAAACAAGTATTTCAGTAAATAAATGCAATGATGACTGGGCGAAACTGAGAAATGATTTCGCCAGCGCTTTGAAACGACGAAGAAAATAGAAAAGTGGACAGGCTGCGGTAGCGATCGTGCCCTTTTTTTCCGTGCGGAACTCCCCTCGGATACCATCTATCAGTGGGTGTTTATGTAGGACTCTAACAGACCAAAAACCACACGCCGTCTCCAGGTACCAGCCGGGGAACCAGTAAAACCTAAACCTTAGTGATAAATGTATAAAACTTTCATTAAAGACAACACGAGCAGCGCACGTCGTTACATGCCGTGTTATTTAACCTTCAACATCAACTATCGAGGGTAAAACGAGAGCGTTTTAGCATTAAGTGAGAAAAAGGTGGGTTCCGTATCCATATTTTCGGATCTAGACTAATAATCCGTATTCGTAACCATTTTCGCGTTTTATTGACGATGCTGCATCATATTTATGTTACTATTTATCATTACCACGTTTACACAATACGTCTACAAGTGTTTTATCAAAATTGCAATTTGCTACATGGCAACTATCCATGGCGAAGATTGCCAAAGCATAGCAAATTAATGTCAAAGTAATCAAAAGCGATTTAAGCGATGTGTCAAGTTAAGTCGCGTCGGCATCGCAAAATCTGAAAGTAATTTTTTATTGCTGATAAATCGAATGAAAATGAATTTCGATGAAGATTCAATCGTATCCTTGATTTTGATATTCTCATGGGTAGAATATTCCTGGGAGTTGTATCTATCATTGCGACAGGTAATGTTGTCCTGAGGTTTACGCCTAATCAAGTTTCTAGTTTGCTTATCAGGAATAATAATAGTCATATTTGTTACATAAATAATTATGAAGGACTACTAGCCACTGCTAAGCCATCTCTACTGACTAGACTGAATAAGACAAAAAGTGTTTGGTAATATGACCTTATGAAATGGTATTCAATAGGTGCACTCACACAGTAAGATTCTGTACATTTTGTAAAATGTAAATTAGTATCTTCCATATCTTAAATACCAAATTGTCGTGTTTCTTCTTAAATTATGACCTTTTTTCCTGTTATGTTCATACATCATAATATATCATGCAATGTAAAACATGGTTTTTTATTTCTTTTAGTTGAATATATACAAAACAAACAACGAAATACCAGACGACTTGAAGGAAATGCTCAATGAAGAATCATTTAAAAAAGCACGTCTGTATGGAATTGATAAGTCCAGCTTCAAGATTGTAAAGGAATTTTATAGCATATTATTAACATCTATTATTTTATATAATCGCTGGATTTATGTGGCATGGCAGAAATCAGAAAATATTGCAACTGCTTTCAACATTTCCACAGATAGGGAAATATTAATTAGTTGTATATTCATGACTTGTGTGACAGTGTTTAATTTTGTTATAAACATGCCATTCACAGTCTATGGTACTTTTGTTCTAGAACAAAAACATGGGTTCAACAAGCAGACAATAGGATTCTTTATTAAAGATCAAATAAAATCCTTACTACTCAGCCTTGTCATTACACTGCCTATTATATCTATAGCCATTTACATTATAATGCTTGGAGGAAATATGTTTGTTGTTTGGCTCTGGATGTTCACAACAGTAGCAACACTTCTGCTATTAACACTGTATCCAACTGTTATTGCTCCACTCTTTGACAAGTTTGTACCACTTCCAGATGGTTCTCTTAGAAAAGGAATTGAAAGTTTAGCTTCAAGGCTCCATTTTCCTCTTTCTCAAATTTACATTGTAGAGGGTTCAAAACGATCAGCGCACAGTAATGCTTACTTTAGTGGATTATTTGGTGCAAAGAGAATAGTTTTGTTTGATACATTGTTAGAGAAGTATGATGAGGAAAAGAAAGTTACAACAGGTTGCACAGAAAGTGAAATACTAGGTGTCTTAGCCCATGAACTAGGTCACTGGAAATGCAGTCATATTTATAAGTCAATTGCTTTAACTGAAGTGAATTTACTACTGTTGTTTACTGCATTTGGACTGTTATTTAAATACTCTATGCTGTACACTTCACTTGGCTTCCCTGCTGGCCAAGAGCCCATAATCATTGGTCTAATTGTTGTACTGCAAATGATTTTGGCACCTTATAATTCAATTTTATCTTTCTTTGCGACAGCACTTTCTAGAAAATTTGAGTTTGAGGCAGACAACTTTGCTCTCTCCTTATCTTACCCAAATGAATTAAGATCTGCTCTCATAAAACTTGGTAAGGATAATTTGGATTACCCAATATATGATAAATTGTATTCTGCCTGGTATCATTCCCACCCAACATTGTTGCATAGAATCGAGAACATAAAAGAGCAAGTCAAGAATTTAAAGAAAGAATAATGTTATACTTAATTTATGTTTTATGTACAATTTTGTAACATGTTTTAACAGTACAAGTAACATACATTTTCATAATATTCATAATTGATGTTTGTAGGTATTCTAGTCTTTAATATTATATTACTTTTGTCTCAGATTAAGTCGAAGCTAAGAGTTTAGAGACTACATTTAAAGAAAAAACATTCAGCACCACTTGACTAGCATAAGATATATAAAGCAGAAAAATAATAAAACTTAGCAAACTGGCTCGTGTTACACAATTTTACAAGAATTCCATTTCCTATTTCCATTCAATTTACAAAAATAAAAATTTATTTAAAAAGAATTAAGCCAGTCTTTATGTTATTAAGGTTGCACAAAACATCTACAAATAGTGTGAAAAATTTATGAAAATTCTAACAGTACACTTGTCACCAAAAAAGAAAGCATTCATGTTGACAGCATTGTAGCCTCTACATTTAACTAGTACTGTTATCTGTAATCAATGTCTAAGAATGTCTACATGTCTAAGTAGGTATGTATGTCTGTAATAAGTAGTTCTTTTAATAAATATTTTTACACGACTGTTTGTTTCAATTTATTCATATTATAGATGATTCTAGCAGTTTTATTATTTAAATAGGTGGTTAAGGTTATAAACAAATAGTTGCATTCAGAGTTGAGTAAATACAGAATTATTAAAATTCAAATTAATATTATTAAACTGCATGACCCATTGTATTTGTACATAGTCTGTACGTGTTCTACAATATAACATTTGCCTTCCTTTATTAATTATCTAGCTTCGTTTTTTATTTGATTAAGACGTAAAATTTAGAACAAATATGTAAGCACAAATGTATGTACAACACTACAATTTTCCCTATTACAAACTATGTAAATGTTAAAACAGCATATTTTAATTTATTTAGCACTATGACAAAAGGGTATGGTATATATCCAATCCATTCTAATTCACAAACAGAAAACGTGATGGGAATATATAATAGGTTCTGAGCCAGGTTGAGCTGTCGCGGTCATAAGTTACGCAGTTATAACATTAAAACTAGGTGGACTTATATTTTTTATTTTTTTTCCGTGTGGAAATCCCCTCGGATACCACCTGTCGGTGGCATGTCGGACTCGTACCGACTAAAACCGCACGCCGTCTCGGGTACTAATAGCCGGGGAACCAGGTATACCCTTGAAAGGAAGTCCCTGGTGCACTAGTAAGTACCACTAACATCTCTGCAGTACGTGTGTTAAATCTTAGTAACAGGCAACATGTAATTCATAAGGGCACACTGATTGGCACTTGTGAGGATGTGACCTGACTGCTGCGAATATTAGTAAGGATCCACGAATCAACGTGTCAACACTTTTGGTAGACTGCCGAGATGTTTTGTCTACGGAAGAAATGGGAAGGTTATAAGATGTTAGTTACTTAAGTACGCCGATATTTTCTTTTCCAATGACGCTGATATCGGAAAGACTGGTTTAATTCATCACAAAATTAACACCGTTAACGAGTTGCCTATTCGTCAGCGACCAAGAAGATTACCGGTATCACGAGAAAAAGAAGGGGGAAACCATGATTGATGGGATGGTGAGGGACGCCGTTATAGAACCTTCATCCAGCCCATCATGTGTTGTACCTACTTGTAAAAAAAAAGAACGGCAGCATGCGTTTTTGTGTTGACTACCACCGTTTGAACGATGTAACGAAGAAGGACAGCTACCATTATCAATGAAGAGATGAAACTCTGGACATGCTAACAGTACTAACGTGGTTTAGCACCTTAGATTTGAAAAGTGGCAACTGGAAGGTAGAAATTGATCCTAATGGCAACGAGAAGACTGCGTTTTCTACAGGAAAAGGACTTTTTTTTCCGTGCGGAAATCCCCTCGGATACCACCCATAGGTGGCATGTCGGACTCGAACCGACTAAAACCGCACGCCGTCTCGGGTACTAATAGCCGGGGAACCAGGTATACAGGAAAAGGGCTGTGGCAGTTTAAAGTGATGCCCTTTGGATTATGTAATGCGCCAGCAACTTTTAAAAGACTGATGGAACTAGTACTCACCGAATTACCATAATATGTGAATTAACTTAATTATTTGGATGACATTGTCATCGTGGGCCGTACCTTTGAAGAACATATTAGAAACCAAGAACGCATGTTATCGAAAATCTGAAACGCCAACCTAAACATAAGTCCTAAGAAGTGTTCATTTTTCAAACGGCAAGTAAGCTTTTTATGATATGTGGTTGCGAAAGAAGGTGTCCAAACAGATCCGTAAAAGATCGCTCCCGTCAAGGATTGGCCAGTACCAAGAAATAAGACCCAAGTAAGAGCATTTTTGGGTTTGTGCTCTTACTATCGGCGATTCGTGAAAAACTGCGGATATTGCGAAACCACTTTATAAACTTACTGAAGAGAAAAGACATTTCTGGTAGGATGAAAGTTGTGACGTTGCATTTCAAGAACTAAAAAGACGTCTATGCACATGCACAACACACCTATCTTGGGTATCCAGATAAAGAAAATGAATTCATAGTTGATACTGATGCGAGTGATAATGGGCTTGACGGTGTGTTTTCGCAGTAGAAAGGTGATCAAGAAGTTATTATTGCATACTTCAGTAAATCTTTGTCGAAACTGGAAAGGAATTACTGCGTCACAGGAAGAGAGTTACGGGCCGTAGTGAAGACATTGCAACATTTCAACAAATATTTGCTTGGGCGTAAATTCCATCTCCGAACTGACCACGCTGCACTAAAGTGGCTGCTAAAATTCAACTGACCACGCGGCACTAAAGTGGCTGCTAAAATTCAACTGACCACGCGGCACTATAGTGGCTGCTAAAATTCAAAAATCCTGAAGGACAAGTCGCGATGACTTCGTGATTGAACATCACACTGGAAAATCTCATTTTAACGCAGATGCGTTATCAAGAAGACCTTGTCCTGAAGACTGCAAGTGCTGTACCAAGCAAGAAGTGAAGGAAGCTGTGCCTGTAAGGACGCCAAAATCGGACCTTAGCAATGAATGGAAGGAAAGCCCACAACAAGCACGGTAGAAGGAAGCAGATATCAAGCCGATTCTCGAGTGGTTTAAAGCTGATACTCCTAAGCCTCATTGGAGCGATGTTGCGTCGATGAGTTCGACCACGAAGAGTTATTGGGCTCAATGGGATAGTTTCATTCTCCAGAACAGAGTCTTGTGCCGCAAATTGGAAAACGCTAGAGGATACAGCTGTCATCTGCAAATGGTTGTCCCTAAAGTTAATACTGGCTGCCGTGCAGCTCTACCATAACGGATGTTCAGTATGGGAGTTAAGAGTATAAGAGTTCTTTAACTTTGTTGAAGATAAGAGAGAGATTCTAATGGATTCCCTGTCATGATGATGTTGAGGACTAGTGTCGCAAGTGTGCCAGTTGTACGGCCGGGAAGGGACCCTATAAACGTAGCAGGGGTGCATTGAAATTATACAACGTTGGTGCACCCTGGGAAAGGATTGTAATAGACGTAGTGGGACCGTTTCCTGAAAGTGAAAGCGGAAACAAGTACTTCATGGTTGTAATGGATTATTTCATTAAGTGGCCATAAGTATTCGCCATTCCCAACCAAGAGGCTTCAACAGTTGCAGATAAATTAGTGCACGAAGTCTCCTGTCGTTTTGGAGTGCCTTTTAAAGTTCACAGTGATCAACGAAGAAATTTTGAATCTTAAATATTTCAAGGGATGTGTCGAGTAATGGGTGCTCACATACCCAGAACCACCTCTTACCACCCACAATCGGGCGGAATACTGCAACCATTTAATCAAACACTGAAGAGGAATCTGTTGAAAAAATGTGAGCGTTGAGCGAATCCGGCGGCTAGGTCTCGAGGTGGCTCTGCACAAGTCCGAGGCCCTGTTCTTCCACGGGCTTAGGAGGAAGCCGCCTCTCTAGCCTCACGGTAGGAGGAACACGCATCGGCATCGACCCCTTGATCAGGTATCTGGGGCTCGTACTGGATGGCCGATGGGACTTCGGATCTCATTTCCGAGGTCTGGTCGCCAAGTTGGTTGGGGCAGCGCGTGCGTTGGCGCGGCTGCTGCCCACCATGAAGGGACCCGATGACTCCTACAGGAGACTCTACTCGGGGGTTGTGCGGGCCAACGCCTGAGTGCCACCACTGCGATGGCCAGACCGTGGACACGGCTCTCCACACGCTGACAGAGTGCCCGGCACGGGTTGAGCAGAGGCGAGACCTCGTGGCGGCTATCGAAGTGCGAGTTCTCTCGCTCGATAGCCTGATTGCGGCTATCGTGCGGAGCGAGAGTGCGTGGAACTCTGCCGTCTCCTTCTGCGAGCAAGTTATACTCGCGAAGGAGACGGCGGAGCGGGACCGGGAGAGGTTTAGAATTCTCCCGGCCCGCCAGGCCCGGGAACGGGCTATTTACCACAGGCGACTCAGGCGCCGGAGGTCGCAGAACGACCTCCGTCCTCCATAAGCGCAGGCCTGTGGGTGACAGGTGAGGCCATCTGTCACCCTAGCAGAAGCAGACCGGGGTGGCGCGTTGCGAAGCGCGCTCGCTTCCAGGGAGCAGAGGGAACATTGGGTTCCCACACGGGGGTTCGTCTACTCGTATGTAAATGGCCCGAGGTATGTCGGGGCACCAGGGACTTCCTTTCTAGGGTATACCTGGTTCCCCGGCTATTAGTACCCGAGACGGCGTGCGGTGGTATCCGAGGGGATTTCCGCACGGAAAAAAAAAAAGAAAGGCAATGTTGCGCCATAGGTTTGAGTGCTTCTTGTGTTGTGTCTGGACAGCACCATCTAGTATCAAGTGGGGCACAACGCTACACATGTTTGGTTCCTTATTCGGATACTTACTTGCAGTACCATCTAGTGACGAGTAACGGAAGATTATAGAAATTCGTAGATGCCTTATTGTACGTGGTTCTGTCTGGAATATTCCATTGCATCTTCGGGATTATTCTAGTAATTTCGATAGCACTATAAAAGCGGAGCGTGTTGGCCGTACGGGATAGTATTGTTTTACGACATAGCGAATTAACATCGAATCTAATTTCTAGTGCGACTAACGAGTTATATAGTGATTTCTTGTTTGTAATAGTGAGTGTTTGTACGAGTAAATACAGTGCAATAAAAGTAATTAAGCGACAACTTTTTTTATTGTATACCCCGCTCGTAACAGTATTGTTTTACGAGACAGAGGATTAACATTGAACCGATATTCTCGTACGACTAACGAGTTATCTAGTAATTTCTTGTTTTTAATAGTCAGTGTTTGTAAATACAGTTATTTTTTACTTTACAAACACTTTACAAAGTTGACTTTACAAACATACATGAAACGGACACAAAGAACACCCAGACTCAGAACAACAATTTGTGGATCACACAAAATGTCGTCCCATGTGGGGTTTGAACCCACAACACTCGGCGTAGTAGGAAGCGGCGTGGCGACCGCTTAAACCACTACGCCATCCGTGCAGTCAAATGTGCAATTTTAGTACTTAACCGACTACTTTTTTTATGTATATTTTACTGAATACCTATAGCAAACGCTGGCCAGCAAATAAAATTAAAATAAAATATCACACTTATGTTATACATTCCAAATCCAATTATGTAATAATTAATACCTACCTGAGGGCCCAGTGTGAGTTTATTTCACATCAACTCGCTCTCGACAGCAAGTTGATGTGAAATATAAAACTTCAGTCCGGGCCAAACCTAACGCCGAAAGCGGTCACCGTGACGGTTGAGTTGATGTAAAATAAATTCACACATACAGGCCCTCTGAGCTGCGTGCTCCCTACAGAGGCTGTTGCCTAACCTAGGGGGCGAGGGAGGAAGTTCACCGCTTCTACTGTGCAGTGATACGATCGATGGTTCTCCACGGAACGCCGATCTGAAGGGATTTTCCACCACGTCAACAATTTTTTTTAAATAAAAGGCCCTCTGAGCTGTTAAACGTATGTACCTACTTTGTTGTAAAAAAAATATATTTTATCAGATTACATGTGCATTTTGATTGAGTGATCTTTTTTATTTCTTGACAAAATCTGATTATACATTTAATCAAAAAAACTCAGTATAAGGGCTAAGTAATATTAGGTAAAAATCAAATTGAAATTGAATGAAAATATTTAAAAGTTAATCAAATTGAACCAGCTCTAAGTACACTCCAATATCATCCAGGCATAGCTATTTGGGATGCCTGGGTAAACATGTATATGTATACATATTATACAGAATCTGTTGAACATATATATATCTTACTATAATGTAGTACTACCTTTAAGCTTAAAATAACTCGAAAAATTGCTCATTCAAGCAAGAAACTCATTCTATTACAAGTTCTAATAGATACAAGTAGAAAAAAGGGTGTTTCAAATCAAAACATGTAACTGTTAAACCAATTTGTATTTTATTCAAGCAAGACATCTATATCTTTTCTGCCTCTTCTAATGTATCAGGTAAATTAACATTTTTCGTTTCAGGCAAAGGTAGTATCATCAACATTTGACATATTGAAATAATTGTCAAAATAAGAAGAGGAAATCCTGCTAAGAATCCTTCCAATAAAAGCATCACTGGAGCAATCATAGAACCTACTCGAGCGAAAGTTGACACTCCGACCAAGCCACAATTTCGCCCCAAGGTTGGGAAGATTTCTCCTGAATATAGATATAACACTGGAACAGTACCCTGAAAATGAAAAAAATAAGTAAGTATACTAGGGACAGCAGATTTATGCCCGGATTGAAACTATTAGCTTAGGAAAATACCTAACACTTGTGGGAGGCTGTGTTTAATCAAAACTACTAGAGCAAAGTGTTACATTTCTGCATATAGGAAGTAAAGAGTTACGGCCTTCCTCGTCTTTTTAGGTTAGTTATAGCCTAGGTGAGAGAAAGCGCGCGTCGTGCTATCGCGGCTTCTGCGCTGCGCATACGTTCATCGAACGCCTACGCTGGACAAACGCTAATGTGAAGGAGCCCCGCCCTAAGACTAAGCGAACATTATAACCAAAGATGGACAAAGTGTAGTCTCGTGGTTAACCAATTAGGTTACTTAAGAAAACCGGTCAAGTACGTATCGCGCCAAGCGTAGTGTAGAGTTCGTTCGTTGTAGAGTAGTCGCCTGTTACAACACGTGGTCTTAGAAAGGGACTATATATTTTCACAGTTTAACGGCCACTGATAGGTATACTTATATATCATATACTATTACATAATCATCGACTTACCGCCATTCCACCAAAGCCTATTCCCGCAAACAACAGTCTCGCCCAGTTGGCCTTTAACTTGCTTTCAGGCTGTAATAATAGTAAAATGAAGCAAATACCAGTGATCCCTTGATATAACCCCAAAGCAGTTTTCCGTCCAACTTTAGTAACTACATAAACGCAAGTTAATCCTCCTAAAGAAGATATGATCCCAGTAACGGCCACAGCTATAAAAATATCTCTTCCTATTGAACCCAAATATTGCGCGAAGGTGTAAAAAGATAATCCCGTACAAAACCTGGAAGTAATTGATATCATGTAAATTATTGAAATGCATTTGTTCTGTATGAATTTACTTATTTGATGAAAATATCAAGTAGCGTATGCGACTGCTGTGCTGAGGTCGATTCCCGGGTCGAACCAAATGTTTGTATGATCTGCAAATATTGTTTCGGAGTTTGGGTGTTTCCTATGTATATGTATGTATTGACAAAAAAAAAAGGTATTCTATCAGTCAATCTAGATTTCATAATACAAGCTGTGCTTAGTTTGAAACTAGATGGCGTTGTGTGTTAGATGACCGAAATTATTATTATTATTTTTAGTGAGACTTTTTAAAATCGGTTTAGTAGTTTAGGCGTGAAAGCGTAACAAAAAAAGGCACTTTCACATTTATGAAATAAGTATGGATTAATTAAAGGTGTCTTTAACTCATTGTGCCTATTTTAATTTTCATAAGGTGTTTCAGTATTTTGGCCTCTTTATTATAAGTCGTTTTCTCTACAATATTATTTTATCAGTGTAGAATGGGGTTATTTATGAGTGGAATAGATAAGTAAGAACCCAAAAACCATTCACCAGTTCATTGATAACAAAATTGTTTTCATTCTCATGTTCTTAGACTTGAGGAAGGCTGAAAATGTTGGAACACTTTTATTGGCCATTGGATTAACATGTTTACTTAATAATCGACTAATTTCCTTGACGCTTATTTCTCTACTGTTCATTTTAGCAGCTTGTACGAGAATTTCTGTAAATAAATAATGGTGAGGTAAAGGTTAGATGTAATCAGTTTTTCAGTCTCTTTTCAGGTTTCTGTCATTTTATATGTCTGTGTAAACCACACACACACATACACACACACACTCAAATTTCAACATTTTAAGAATATAATGGGCAAATGAGCAAACAGGCAGTGACTATGAGTTAAAAAGTTTCTTGAAATGCTCACAGTGGTGGAGTGTCAATGTAGAGTGGCAGTAAGCTGCGGCCCGTGTAAGTCGGAACAATTCCTCGGTGCACTCCACGTGATACAGGCAATAGAAAATACAGATTGAAGTAACATCTTTACGCGACGCTAGGAGTGTCAGACCGATCCAAATTGTTCATTCAATCGGTTATTCGAGTCGCTCTCTGTTGAATGCGACCAAGAGGAGTACCAGCAACTTGTTACCAGTTGTTTTATTATTCGATATGCAAAAATGAAAATTTCATATGCATCCGAATTTGCGCCTGCAAAGTTGCAGGTGGTGGGCCCGAGCTAAATACTGTTTCGATCTATTTAGCATATCAAGTTTCTTCAAAGCCAATGTGATGTAAGTAACCGCGAAACTGCACTGCGCTCGAGACTGCTATGCTGGCTTACAAAGCGACATGATGCGACAAAATATTTTTTGGGCGGTAAATGAAAACCAGCGACTTCATGGGTTTATTTGGGCAGCACCCAAATACTCCGAAATATTTTATTCCGAATTTCAATGTTCCGATATTCAAAAGTCCGAATTTCATAATAGATACCTAAGATTTATAATGACTATTATTAAAATACACAAAATTTATTTTACCGAAAGTCGTAAATGCGATGTGTTTGTATTCCGATTTTTATACGTTCGAAGAATCAAAACCTCGATTACAAATTCTTCGAATACACTGCTAAAATTAAGATGCTGATTCAGTCAGTATAATATTCAGTTAGGCACGCATATATATTGAAAAGCTATAGGTAACGTTTAATGTAAGGTCAAAAGTCTACTTTGTGATTATTTTTTTGTGTATTCTTCTCCTTATATACACCTGCGTCGGGTACCGTCTACTATCATTGAATTCTTTAGGTTAGGTTAGGTTAGAACTGTGACCATTAAAGCGCGAAGGCGAGCGAGCGTAGCGAGCCGCCCAGCGCCAGATCCTCTCTATTGTTGGTGAATCATTTAGGTAAAGTCAGGTTAAAACTGTGACCAGCGAAAGAAAATATCTTTATTCGAAAGAAAATGGAGAGAATTCGAATGTTTGATGTTTCTAATTATCTGTTGGTCGGACTTTTTGTTATTCGATCTATTGAAACTCGGTATTTTGAGCATAGTAATTTTAACGTTAGGAATATTGAATTTTTTTAATTAAAAAAAAGGATGAAATCAATCGCAGTTGTTACATTAGGAATTTTGAACCATTCGGAATTATGAAAACCGTTATCTTGAAATTCGTTTTTGTGACTGACGGAATAAAGTTTTTCCTATTTGTGTAGTGTACCCGGTTCTTCTTTGCCTGGCCCTTCCACATTTATTTGTGGTCGGCCCTCCGTATCATGTGTCTCCAGGCAGCTCGGTACTGGGTCTTCTCTTTGTTGACTTGGGCTTCTTTGAGGTTCCTATTTACTACGGACATCCATGTGATTCGGGGTCTTCCTCATCCTCGGGGTTTAGTCTCAATATCTAACACTTTTCTGGTCATGTGGTCGGATGGTCGCCTCATAACGTGTCCGTTCCACCGCAGACGGCTCTCCTGTAGTTTATCACGGATAGGTCTCACTGTGAAGGTGCCTGTTATGAATGTGTTTCTGACATGATCCAGCCTGCTTATACCACCTGCCCACCTGAGCATCTTTATCTTTATCTTTACTAATACTTAAATACAGTATCGGTGAAGTGTCAACGCTCTTAAGGTGAACGAATGCTAAAAATAAAAAACAATGAAGGCAGAGTAGGTAGCTCATAAAGTGATACCTAATGCTTTATCCATTTGGCCTGATGCTATCAACCACCTCGGAGATTCCGGTATCCAAATCCAAAACAGTATAAATGATGAAGTAAAACATCCCAAAGCAAGCTCTAGCTTCCTCCAATCTCTAAGCCAATTCGCCAATCCTGCCATCAATGCGTTACCAAGACCAAAAGGAAGTTGATGAAGAACTGGAATAATAGTTCGCCATTTTCCACTCACCACCTACAAGGTAATTGTAAGCTCAAGATTGCCGATTTAACGGGAGTGACGGTTAAAACCTTGTATAATTTCGCCTACGAGTAAAATACAGATTCCACTTCACTCGCTACAGTATATTTAAACGTATCTATTTATTTAAAGTGGCACGTCGGTAAGTGAAACAATCTATAAGTATATTATATGGTATTATTTACAAATATTTTTTGAGCTATAGATTGATGAATCTACTTAACCAATTGTTGTTTTTTTTGGATTAGACAATCAATGGATATCTCTAATAGGAGTTGATATTACATGACTTTTGATGTGTCTTAGTCGACCGTGCCACATGTCGTATATGTCACTTATGGAAGTGCTTGTTTTATTTGTTTCAACTATTACATTTGGTTTTAAAAATTGATAACTATACCTCCATACATAGTACAAAGGCTATAAGACTGATACCACCATTAGCCATTGCGAGAATAAACCAATTAATTAGGAAAACCCAAAACCAGGGTATAACACTAGCTAATAAGCCGCCTACGCCCTCAATAACAATTGCAATAAGAAGAGGTGTCCGCCTTCCATATTTATCAGCCACAACACCGAAAAATATTCCTCCAACGAGTATTCCCCACATCATTACAACTTGACATGCCTGAAAGAACAAAAACGTTTTTTTAGTCTGTTCCTAAATTAAGGGTAAACAACACCCCCTCCAACAACGACACCTCACAAAGTACCTCTTCGTACGCTATTCTGTCTAAGTAACAGAATTGAATATAATTGTAAATGTAATAGGTACCTAATTATTGCACATCTAACTTCTTAACATTTACAATTAAATTCAATTCTGTAATAACACCATCTTGCACATTTTCATAGTCGCGTATTTATTTTTAAAACATACATAATGCGCTAATTTCAAAAACCATGGGCTCTAAATAAGCTAAACTAAATATGTAGGTATGTTTTGATTTGTGTATTAATATAAACAGATGATACATACGTGAACAAGCCAGCGACGATCACATACCAAATTCCATTCAGAAACAATTGTACGAGGAAACATACTCGTGTCATAGATAAATTCTTTGCATGGTACCAGCGGGATCAACGTCTTATCGAGATTTGGATCCAATAAAAGTAAGTCTGTGTCAAATATTAAGCACGGATATTCTTCCATTTTCTAAAACAGTTATTAATTAATATTTTAGTGTTAATTATACACTCGTTAGTTTCAGACTTCTCGTCTATTTGTTTTGTTATGTAGTAGGTGGCACGTTAGTGCCCCCCCCAAGACAAGCCAAGCGAGCGAAGGCACTACCTACTTTTACTGTTTTTTAGGGTTTCGTACCTCAAAAGGAAAATCACGTTGTTGTACGTCTGTATATCTATCCGTCTGTCAAGACTTGTATCGTTTGAAATTAACCCTAGAACTACAAACCCATTTTTTTCACCTTTAAACTACAAACCAAAACTACTAAGTATCATTCTGAAAACAGTAATCGGACTTTTAAGTACATGTATTTTGTTTGTTTTTTCATGCCGAAGAGAATGGTGAAGAGCATGTTCAATATTATCAAGGTTTAATTCGTTAAAAATCGATTTTAATAGCTAAAAATGCTAAAATATGGCCAAATCGTTATTTTACAAACAAAAATTCTGAACTTTTTTCTAACCAACCGATCTTCGAATTTGACCCGGGATTTTGAAGAGGACACATAAGGCTTTAAAAAAATACCATAATTATGGTTTGCCCAAAAAGTCTATTTATTTGGGACTTTGAAAGTTAAAAAAAAAACATTAAATATTTATTTAAAAAGACATATTTTTGGTTTCTTTCATAAAAATGTAATTAAGAAAAGAGGACTTTGACACATAAAAAATATTCAAAGGTACTGTTTCTATTTGACTTATTCAAACGATGACTGCCTGAATGATGTGAATGAACTCAAACGATTAATGACTTCATGATGATGAATCAAGATGTTGTTTCTTATATCCCAGCGAAGAGAAGGTACTTTTAGCCTTGCCCTCAGGTGTGACTCCAAAAGCGAGTTGACTAAGCTTTTTATAAACTGTCTTCGGTTGGCCATCCGTATCCTAATAGGCCATAGCAGAGTTCTACGGTTCGTGGAGTACTCGTGACACATATGGCTGAAGGTACCTCCTTTCGTTGTATTGTAAAAATCAATTTTCTCCGGTTTCTTAGTGTTCGAGTCGATCGTGGCAGTATGGTGTAATGTTGACAGCAGGAGAACTATATTATATTGTTTGGGAGTATGGGATATTAAAGTTAAGTTTCCATCGAACGCGAATTTGGATGGTGACAACTGTCCTGCGCATCGGAAATTCTCAGGGATTTCACATTTGTTTGTCCGTAGTGTTCCAGCCATGAAAATCGAACACTATGTAAGCATTTTCTCGAATATTGGAATTGACGAAAAACCAATTGTCACACGTTATGTTTCGGGTGCATGCAGTGGCTCCGATAATTTCCTGATTTAATATGATGGGACACTATCACCATTCTTTGTCTGTACTTTTCCCGCGTATGGCAGTGCAGAGAACATGTAGAATATTCGTGCGTCGTTGAGCATCACCATCTTGATACTGTATTTATCTGGTTTAAAGCAATTATATACTTTAAAACGGCATCGTCCACGGGAAGAAACTAGTTGCTCATCTATTGTAACATATGAAGCTGGAGAGTAATATTTTGTACAATTTGATATGAATTCTTCCCAAACCTCACGGATCGCAGCAAATTTATCAATTTTCTTTCGATCAATGCGTGTACTTTTATCATCGTAACGTATGCACTTCGATATGAAGGAAAATCGGAGTCGAGACATCGTTGCACGGTATCTGATGGAACCGTAATCAGCACTCTATAAATCTTCAAGATTTTTGCATGCCTGAAAAATATAGTAATCCCAGCAAGCCTTCAATTCAATCAAAGAAAACTTCGAGTACGTGGAAGTTGCTGTATAATCAAGTTCCTCTAAATGTCTATGAATTTCTTTATTCGTGTTTCGAACTATCTTCTCCAATAAGTCATCAGGAAAAAACAAAATTCCACGCTTCAAAAGGATTTGTTTTACTGCTCTAACTGGGCTTGGCAAGTACGATGTCGGAGGATTTCGTCGATCCAAAGATCGTTCACGTGGTGTTGTATACCATTTAAGCCCATCTTTACCACAAACGATGCTTGGCCTTCGACCTCGATTTGAACGGCCAGCACTACGAGTAATTGATCTCTTTCACGTCTTTGGCTTTTTTCAGGAACTACTTCCTCTAAATCTGAGTTTTCAGATTCTGCTTCTTCTGGTCGTTTGAATTCTTCATCGTCAGCATCTTCTTCCGACTCCAATTCGCTTATTCTGTCTAAATTATCATCTTCATCGGAAATATAGTCAATCGCTGCTTCTTTCTCAGCTCCATATCCCTTAAAGTTTACACCAGTGCATCGGCGCTTCTTAAATAATATAGTTTCGCCATCATCTGTCAAAAAAAAAAGGAAAACATGTCAATATTTTGTTACTTTCAGTGTATAGGTACTTAAAATATGAAAATCATTGTCGAAAATTATGTATTTAATGGTTTTTTGTAAAACAAGGTTATATCACATAAATTAAATTTATATTAGCAAGAAAGAGAAAAATAACTTACACAAAAAACTAACGCGAACTACAAACCAGGGTAGAAAACAACCTCATACGAGCTTTACGTCCTCACTTTGTTGCAATAAACAAGAAACTGAAGGATGTCACGACCTCACTCTATTGTTAAAACATTAACGTTAAAACATAACGACACTGAGTAACTTAGAATCGTAGTTCACAGTTTACCTGGGGTAGATATCTACCCCAGTTTATAGTTCTACGGTTAAAACCATATACTCAGGTCTATAGCCCCCTGAAGCTGTTAAAAAATTAAGCTTCTAACTAGTCAACGTAAAAAATTTTTACGGCCCTTTATGCCGCAATAAACGCATATTTCGACACTCTCTAGGGAATCAAAATTTATAGGGTATCCGTTGACCTAAAACTATGAAATTTGGCAGATAACATCGTCTTATATTACAAGTACAGGTAAAAAATGAAAACTATAAATTTGTAATTAAATCATAAAAATAAAGTCTTTAAAGTACGTAATCAATCATTCGGGGTCAATTTCACTTATAAAGCACTATAATGTAAGTAATTAAAGGTTTTGGAAACTGAATTTCAGAAAAAGCTCTGAATAAACAACGAGACTCGATTCCTGAACTATATGTACCTACAAATTTGTACGGAACCCTCGGTGGTCGAGTCCGACTTGCATTTTTCCAGATTTTTTTTGAACCCTCATTAAACCTGGGTTTGGATTACACCAGATAAACAAAATTCTCGGTATATGATGTGAATAGTGGACGCATTAAACATATAAAGTTTCAATTGCATAGCTCTTTTACTTCAGATTTTGTTGACATCTAAAACCCCAATTTCGTCACTGACTGGTGGTCATTAAAATTCTCAGGATACTTCCTGAAATCCTAGACAGTTAAAATTTGTTATGTAAGCTAGTATTAGTACACAAAAAAAACAAAAACCTAAACTTAAACCCTGACCCCTTAACTCATCCCCTAGTTAAGTTTGTAAGTTGATAGATTTGAAAATTGATATAGGGACTCCTTGTTATAAATAATGTCTTATGCAACTTACAAAAAGAAGTGAAATAGAGCCCACACCACAGGCATCGTAATTATATTTATTATTACGATTTCTATGCAATACACCTTAGTCAAAATATGTGGATTGGCCCTTTCGCTACCATACCATGGGCGTAAAGTGAAAAATTTAAGGACTGTTCATTATTTTTTATAATACAATAGTTCTTATAGTAACGAAACGGGCAATGCCAAAGGTCTGACAAAGTGAGATGCCGAAGACCGGGCGAAGTGGAGGAAAAAGAGTCGGAAAGCGGACCCCGAGAATTGTCCGATCCAACCGGGATTAACGCTCGGATGATGATTGTAAGTCTGTAAAATTTTACATTGTTTACATTAGTAGACATAAAAACTAATTGACAATAATAACATTAATACAACTTACAGGTGCGCATATTTTCCTCCACTCTGACTCCGAATACTTAAAGAAAGAAGTAGGTTTTTTACACCAAAAATCTTGAGGAGGAGCCATAAAAATTATATTTAATTGATACCAAGCTGTGGGCAGTTTTAGAAGAGACATAATTACACTGACACGTAATTGCCACTTTCCGAAATTCCCGACTGCCTTTGCAGTTGGATCCTCTATATCCTTGGAAGAAACTTTGGGTTCACTGTTCAGTGGTGATTTAGACTCATTGCTTGACGCACTGATCTCACTGCTTGATATCCTAGACTCACTGCTTGATGTTCTAATATCGCTGGTCGAAGTCCAAATATAAGAGCTGGATGTCCTAAGGTAACTGCTTGATGAATTCATAGTTTTTTAATATTTAACTATGTTAAAATGTATGTAGCGTTACTTATAAATAAAATTGAAAAAATATTATTCTAAGAAAGTATTGTAAGCTATTGTGGTATATCCCTCAAGGTTATGTATTCTCTATGTCATATTTTATACAAAAAGTTTAAAATAAGTCTATAGGTATCCTTCAATCAAAAACATCGAAGGAGTGATCTAAATAGGTTATAGACAAGTTAAATGAAATAAGGTGGTTATTAAATTCCACATTAGTGCCAACAAAAATAAAAAGACATTGCAGTAAAGTGATTACACAAGTGAAGTCTTGTGACACTAATAAGATATGGGCAGCACTACGTGTATTATAGGTTTTACTGTCTCGATTGACCACTCAGTGCAACACAATACCACTACTAATAAAACGACTCACTTATAAATTATTTGTAAATACTTTAATATATTTGCTACTGAGGTGTTTGACGGAACGCTCAATGATGAATTAAATTTTTTAGTGTTAGTGATGCAGTCTTTCTGAAAGGGTTCTCGAGTGGCGACCGCATATCAAAAGGTCCCCTACAAGGTAGTCCGCGCCCTGTGAACATACTTGGTATACATATAGTTATACATATAGATAGTTCATAGAATTAATTAATTATATATATAGAATTATATGACATAAAAATGACTTTATTGATGACTTCAATATGATGTCACATAGTGTAACTTCATTACGACATAGTACCGCCCTAAAATTTGACTTTTATATGACGTCATAATTGTGCAAAAATATTACGTAAATATTATGTCCTATCATATGTGTGACATTAGTTACTTTTTTTCGACCTTTTTATGTCGAAATCGTAACAAACTTTTTAATCCAAAGAAATATCTTTAGTACCTAACTAGTGAAACAATTTCTTTAATAAAATAATATATTAAATTTATATTCTTATTAAAATATTATCATAGAAGAAGATTTTTTAGTCCCGTGATAATTAAACTAAAATGTTTAGACATAAATTTCTAACCTAAAAAGCATACAGCATCCAATACCGGTCCCGTTGGTAATGTATTGTCACTCAAAGTATCCTGGTGAGCAATAAAACATTTTGGTGGTTAACGTCTTGCAAATTTAAGGAAAAAGTATCCTAAGCCTGATAAATTCCCTGCATTTTTTTTCTTAAACGAATTAAAAATAGGATTTTTCGTTTAAGTATTTGATAAATAAAACTTTAATTGTAATTACTGTTGAATAGGCTATAATTCGTTCATATTGAAACCAAATAACTAAAAGTGGTTATGACAACTACCTCTTACCTCGATAGATGGCGTGCTACCATTTTCTGAATCGCGATATTGTTTCCTTAGTCATGTAGGTTTATTACGGTGCTCTTATAACTTCATGTGAACTCTGGTTTCCCTTCAGAACGTGTAAATCTTTACCTACTTACAGATAAAACGATACATTTGAATAGACCAGACATATCCCTACAAGACAAGATTGGAAAGATCACATACTTTATAGATGTCGCAGTTACAAAAAACAATACCTATTCGAAAAAATAAGCAAGTATGCTGACCTGAAAGAAGAAGTGCTCAGAATTTGATAACAAAAAATATATACATAGTTCCAATAGTTCTTTCTATGACTGGCGACAGTAAACAGTTATGATAATTTGTTTATGTAAGATTATATAGAGGCAAATTAAATACTAGAATCTTGAGAATATTCATGCAGCTAGAATAATTCTTGTAATTCTTGTAATAGAAGTTCGGCTACAATTCAGTTCCGATCAACCCTCGATCTCGCAATTGTCATAAAAGGTATTTTCGTAGTAAAATAGTAAAGTATTACTAAGTCTAGCAGATTACCGATTTTCGGTAAAAATACGATATAATCACATCACAGTCAGTTACAATACGATATAATCAAATCACAGTCAAAGTTGAATGTTTAATATTTTACTATGAAAATACCTTTTATGACAGTTGTGAGATCGAAAGTTGATCGGAACTGAATTGTTGTGACCGAACTTTTATCACGAGACTTGGCGTTCAGATGAGAATACACCAACATAATGTACACACCACATGCTACATTTACTTGTTTTAGGTCCGTAAATGCAGTAGTACCAGAAAAAGTAGTTCAGGAAATAAAAATCATAATAATATTATAATAATTGGTTATTTTACACCATTTTTTTTTCTTGCCTATTTATAAATCTAAATGAAACGTCAAAAGGTACCTCTTAGATTTGATGGACTATAGTTTTTTTTTTTTAATGAAGGGTCAGTTATCCCTATAGAAATATAATATAGAGAGAACAAGATCCTCCAAATTTCTTTCTAGTCGAACTCTGGTTTTGGCTAGCGAATTTGACGGGTTATTAAGTAGTCAATCGCAGCTTAGCTAAGCAGAGACAGGGGGCAATATCGGGTATCCATCTCTCTCGTTTCCTGTATCGCTGCCACTTTGTTTGTGACTCCTGAGTTCGTTCGTTCCTTCGAGACGTTCATGGGCGGCAATAATCACTTTCCATCAGGTGACCCGTCTGCTCGTTTGCCCCCTCTAACATAAAAAAAAAACTTACAGGCAGCTGTACCCCGTTTTCTCTCCATGCCTTTTTCTCTATGGGCATCCCCCTAGCCACAGAACACATATACTCCTAGCGGAACCACTAGCAGTCGCACACATGGCCCTTTGGTCGTCTGTTACGTTGGTATACCGATACCGACTGTATCGACTAAGTTGATGAATCCATCATACATTATTTCACCTCTTTTTTATAGATTTTACCTGCAGTTTTAAAACTCATTGTCGTATCTATATGTAATATTATTATTATTAGGATGTATAATAGATTCTGTGACTTTTTTTTTGCTTTACTCTGCTTTTATAATCTGCTAAGCAAGAATTGCCTTACCTATCTTTTAAATTCTTTATTTTTGACGTGACAACGTCTTATAATTCGATGGAGCCGGCTGCACGCACGAAAAAACATGACTCATGCGGCGTTACCTCGCTCTGAGGCGTTCCATTTAAGGCGTGAAGTGCAAGCGAGAGCGCGAAACAAATGACAAAGAGGCACAATCGGCCTCCGCGTTCGGCAGCGTTCGACATCTGTCTCTCTCCTACTTGAGTGAGCGATGCGTCCACGTGGACAGCTGCTACTCGTATACAATAATACATTTTTGAAAAATGCAACCATTCCATCAGTATTTTCTTATGACGTTGTCACGTTCAACTATCGTCAGTAAACCGACTTTACAGACAACCGATTTTTTTTACTAAACTGTAGTTCTATAATCATTGTTTCAAAGTTGTCAAATATTTGATACCTATCATGTCTGCTGAGCTGCTGTCATTGTCTGTAGTGTAGTGAACAGAATCGTGATATGTGAATGAGATAGCTATGGAATGTAAAGTGATTTAATTGTAATTGGTTTTATTTATTTGTTCTATTATTTACGGTGAATGTTCAATTCTAAAAGTTATAGCAATGCCTTTGGCTACCTCCACTTCAGATCCTTGGCGAATGCAGAATGGAGATAACACGGTAAATCTTTTTTGAAATCATTTCGATTTCCAATTGCTTCGTTGGAGTAATTTGAAATAATTAATTTTATTCCATTCCAAAGTTGATAATCTATTATAATTTTGAAATTAATTTCTAACTTATTTTGCAAATGATAAACATGATAAACGCCCACTACTGATTGAGCACTACAATGGCATTAGCTTTAATTAACTCCTTATACTTTTCGTATTTGCGCAGTGCTGTATATTCAAATTTGTCAATTCTTTTTTACTGATAAATGGGCTGCTGAAGAGAGACAAGGAAAATAACTGAATTGTTGTACCATTAAGGAAAACGCAACATGTATTATATTCCTTGAATTTACCCATTCTCATTAAACATATTTACTGAACAGTAGTATTATTGTGTAGTTGTTATTAAAAAAAAATGGTCTGTTCCTTGTATTTGTTTTGAAAGTATTAGTATATTTGGTAATTTATTAAATGATAAACACATTTACTATTAAGATTTTTACTAACCACATATGTATGAGTTCTAACAATAAAAAAAATATTTTCTTGTGTTAAATAAATAATTACTAATATCATAAAAAACCTATGTTTTAGTGAACAGGTTAGATATTTGATATTTCAATACTCAATTAGCTTAAGTCTTCTATTAATTTCTTTAGTTAAGGTTAAACTTAATAACTATATAGGGCACTTACTATTAAGTTTCATCATATTCTACTAACACAACTTTATTTCGTAGGGATCTTCAACCCAATCAACAAATAATCTTCCAATAGTGGTTGAAAATGCAGCAGAGTCCCGTCAAGCATCCACAGCTGAAAGCTTAGACACAGCTAGTGATGTTAGTGATGAAAGAGAGGTGGAAATCCAAGATGTTGTTAAAGAAGGCCATGATAAAGCAGACCCATCCCAGTTTGAATTGCTCAAAGTTCTTGGAGAAGGTTCCTTTGGAAAAGTATTTTTAGTAAGAAAAGTTGTTGGTGCTGATGCAGGCACTCTTTATGCTATGAAGGTAATGATGTAGATATTTCTTATAAATCCATTAAGGTAACATTTGAAACACTGAAATTTTCACTTAGATTACTATTCAAATTGTGTGTATGTAATATGTTTAATATTACATACATACAGCCCAGTGCCCTGCACTCTTTAGTGAAAAACCAGTGTGTCTATAAAACATATCTGGTGTTCCATGTGGTATCGAGAGCTGGTTATTGTGTTCTTCTGCCATAACAACTCTTGCTAAAATAACACACCTACAAAATTCAGTACTGAGAAAGAAGTTATTAAGTATTTATAAAAATATAATTAACACACATTATGAGTACTGTATGATTCATTTTGTGTGTGATGTGTTATAAGCAAATAGAGGGAAAAAAATCTGTGATGGTTTGAGCATGTTGAGAAGTTTTCAAAGATTGAATGTAAAGAGTAATTAAGTTTGTGTAAGTAAGCCATGAAAGAGGTAGTACTTATTTTTAAATAAGTAAGTGTTATGTATAGTGAACACTGAAGTATAAATACTGAGGTTAAGTACTACATAATATAATAATTAGTTTATTTACACTTTATCTTTTAGGTACTTAAAAAAGCAACATTAAAAGTAAGAGACAGAGAACGTACAAAAATGGAAAGAAATATTCTAGTGGAAATGGGCCATCCATTTATTGTTAAATTACATTATGCATTTCAAACTGCCGGTAAACTTTACTTAATATTAGACTTTCTACGTGGCGGTGACTTGTTTTCGCGCCTCAGTAAAGAAGTAAGTATTGTCAGTAAACCATTATATTTAAGTGTTTATGAAAATGTGAGTTGTGTAAGATTAACCTAAAACAGATTAGTTTAAGGTACAAGCATTGAAATAGAAAGTGCAGTCAGCTAAACATATGTGTGAGTTTATTAAATAATCATTCGAAGTATAGGTATATTATGAAGCCATAGTGATGTGAATTAAAACTTCATGAGATACAAAAAGCCAAAACTTGTGAATGCCAAGAAAACAAATTAGGTGATAATTAGAAAAAGGCTTACTTAAATTTGAAATCAGCACATAATCTTTTTTTTTTAAATATATTTTGCTTATTGAACTATCTGACTCTTATTATGCATGATCCTAATAGATTTAATGGATAATCTGTATAGCCCTGAAGTGAACAAGTAACTTTGTGTATCCTTTCGGCCCTGTGGAATGTTAATACAAATTAGAAGATACAATGCAATGATATTGGGATGTTTATAATAGATGTATATTTTAAATTATTAAATATTATAAAAAAATCCTGTCCTTAATATTTAAACAAAATAAATTATTGTTATTTGCTGCTTATCTGCCGCAAATCTTTTGCAAGCTAAAACTATTAACCTTTGCATCTTGAAACATCAACTGACAACTTTACATATTCCTTATTTTGTTTTCTTCGAAATCATGAAGTCAAAGTCGAATCCTGTATCATGAGGAGTCGCCGAGGAAATGACTTATATTATTATTATTATTAAATAACAGCCTGCAGTATTTCCGAATCGACATCACCTTTTTTTTTTTTCCCGTGCGGTAATCCCCTCGGATACCACCTGTCGGTGGCATGTCGACTCGAACTGACTCGAACCGACTAAAACCGCACGCCGTCTCGGGTACTAGGAAGGTACCAGGCCGGGGAACCAGGTATACCCTAGAAAGGAAGTCCCTGGTGCCCCGACATGAATCGACATCACCTGCAACCATTTAAGAAAGGGCGTACTCACATCTCATAGGCTAGCAACGCACACGTGACTCTTGAGTTGCGGATAGACACAGGCAGTCACTTACCATAACCCGCCTCCTCATTTGCCACCTACCCCATAAAAAGTTTATGTGATTATATCCAAAATGTATACTTATTATGCTTCATGCCTTCTGAGGGCATAGTGTGAGTTTATTTCACATGAACTCGCTTTCGACAGCAAGCGCGTTCGGCGTTGCGATTGGTCCGCGCTGAGCTCTACACCAATCACAGCGCCCCACGCGGTCACCGTGGCGATCGAGTTGAAGTGAAATAAACTTACACAAGGCCCTCTGTTGGAAGTAGTAAGTATCTTAAAAATATATTTTTTTATTTCTAGGTAATGTTTACTGAGGAGGATGTAAAATTTTATCTAGCTGAACTAGCATTAGCATTAGAACATGTACATAGGCTTGGGATTATATACAGGGATCTCAAACCAGAGAATATTTTATTAGATGCTGATGGCCACATTGCACTGACTGATTTTGGTTTATCAAAGCTACCTCCAAGTAGTGATAAAGCTTACAGTTTTTGTGGTACTGTAGAATACATGGCACCAGAAGTAGTTAACAGAAAAGGGCATACATTTGCAGCTGATTGGTGGTCTTTTGGAGTACTTATGGTAAGTTCAGTGTAATGAGTCAGAATTGATTTAGGGTACAATATACTTACAGATGTGAATATATCACAGTTATAAATATATCATCGTTCTTTTTAGTTTGAAATGCTAACAGGAAATCTGCCTTTCCATGGCTCAACTAGACATGAAACAATGACCCAAATATTAAAAGCCAAACTTGGTATGCCATCAAACTTAAGTGAGGAAGCCCAATCCTTACTCAGAGCATTATTTAAGAGAAATCCACAGAATAGGTAAGAACTTTCCTAACATCTTATGCAATAAAATAATCTTAAGATTTTGATAAGACCATGTACACTGTACATAAACCTTGATAATAGATTGTCTTAGGAAATAATTTACACATCATTTAATAAAGATGGGTATCTATTTTGTCTGTCTGTAGACTCGGTGCTGGGCCTAACGGAATCGAAGATATCAAAAAACACGAGTTCTTTGCAAGCATAGACTGGGATGCGCTTTTCAGAAAAGAGGTAAAGAATCTGCTATCTTTATACGACGCCCTAGTAAAATACCATGACGTATTGCGAGTGTTTAACGTAGCCGTCATGCACACCGGCATAATAAAGTAGGCTCGTTTGTTTTAGTTGTTTTGTAGAGTGACACTCCAGCTAGAAATATAAATGCTTTAGTATGGGTTTAAATTGTATATTCACACATTGAAAACAAACATAATTAAAAATCCTGCAACCAATTCACTTAGTTCACTCTTACGTTCATGTTAGGCATAACCTTCATAAAAAAATGTAAATCCATTCTAAAAAGATGCTGAAACTAATGTTATTTTATATGTTCCTGTACCTTCGTATCCGCAGCTATTCGAAGGAGAAAATGTATTAGTGGAATGTCTATAACTCGAACCTCGTCAAGTCGAAAAAAAATGCCATTCCCTTCCACTGAACCCCTAAATACGCGGTATCTCGAATTATTTAGACTTTGTAACTCTAACAAAATGGTATTTCCCTACGAAGTATTGATAATACATATTTGTACTCTATAACTCGAATTTCAAATCAAATAGGAGACTCCGTAAGTCATAGTTAGTAAAATACAATGACGTCTTACTTGGAATTCCCCAAAATAATAGCAATAAAATCTAAAGTGAATGCTCGGGTTCGGGGCTTCTAATCTTTTGTTTTTGTCTTGTACACGTGCAATGAATGAATACATTCATTAAACTTTCTAAGTAACGCAACTGTGCATGTTATGTTTGTTCCTTGTCGACAAAGGACACGATTACTTCTAGCAGAACTTGTCCGTCAGTACTTATTTGGCTATTAACTGACAACAACATGAGTACAAAGCGGAAACTAAAGACTAACTCTACGTGAAAAAAGCGATGTTATCAATGTGGTAAAAAGTAGCATGAAAAAAAAGACCTAGCAGCTTAATACTGATTTAAAGCAAGCATTTTGTCTACAATAATTAAGAATGAAGCCGAAATATTGCAAAGATATGAATCAAGTACAGTAGAATCCCGATTATCCGGATCAATTAAAACCAGGGGTATTCCGTATAATCGAAAATCCGGATAACCGATTTCAAAGCAAATCAAATAATATTTAAGTTCTAATAATTTTTTATTATGTAATGGGTTTTACTTAGATAATACGATATATAAAAAACGAGCTATAACGATAGATAATTAATTACATAATACCTATGTAATTTAAAATTTTGGTTGGAAATAACTTGTGATAGATTTTTGACGTAATGAATCACATCTTTTTCTCGCAGCCAAGTCCCTGATGCGCTTCAGTTGTAACAACTGTATGGGATCCGATTCGTCCTGTCTTTCAAACCACTTGAAAGCAACATCTAGAGCTTCAAAAGCTTCTGCGTGAGATGGTACTTGACATACATCCCCAGTTTCAGTCTCTTCTTCATCTTCTCTCTCGTTACTGTTTAAATCCTCAATGATTTCTTCATCAGTTAATATTTGGAATCCAGGGTCTTCACTATCGCAGTTCAGCCACTCCATAATATTCTCTTCATCGCACCCGTCGCCAATGCTAAGAATTTTCATTGCTTCGGTTATTTCTTTAAAATCGTCGTGCGGTTTAATTGAAGAATCAGATAGAGTTAATTTTAATAATTTATTCCATGCCCTTTTTAATGTTTGCAATTCCACAGAATTCCACGCTTCTACCAGCATATAACAACAATCTTTTAAATTAATTTCTTTAAAAAACTTTAACAACGTTTCTATTCCACTGTCGTCTGCTGATAAAAGACGACGCAGTAGCTGCTTTCTGTATAAACGTTTTAAAGTTTCAATGACACTTTGGTCCATAGGTTGCAATATCGATGTAACGTTAGGGGGCAAAAACTTAACCGTGAACTTCCCATTTTCTCGATTTAGTGTTTCAGCGGAAGGGTGCGTTGGCGCATTATCTAATAACAACAATACATCGCCCTCTTTTCCCACGTCCTTTTGAAATTTCTTCACCTCAGGAATAAACGTATTTTCATACCAAGTAAGAAAAATATCTGTGTTCATCCACGCTTTTTGTTGGTTAGCGTAAGTTAAGGGTATTTTAACATTTTTGAAACAGCGTGGATTTTTTGATTTACCAATAAGTAGCAGTGGCAATCGATGTGTTCCTTTAGCGTTTGCGCAAACCATAACTGTAACTCTGTCCTTACTCACTTTGTGCCCCGGTGCTGCATTTTCACGTCGCGATGCTAATGATCTGCTTGGTAGAGCTTTCCAATTAAGACCTGTTTCGTCCGCATTGTATACAAAATCTAAATCGTATTTTTTTTTCATCTAGAAATTCTTTTAACTCGTCTACAAAAGAGTCGGCTGATGCAACGTTAGCAGACAGTTTTTCTCCTTGAATCTCCAGTTCTCGAATTCCATGTCTGGATTTGAATCTTGCTAACCATCCACAGCTCGCCTTGAAAGAAGTATCACCACCAAGTTTTTGATTAAAATCCAATGCTTTTTCACATAACAGAGGTCCAGATATGGGCTGACCGCATGCTCTCTTTTGTAAGAACCAAGTAAAAACTGCATTCTCCAGAATTTCATTTTGAGATTTTTTCATGACTTTACGTTGCGAACTTCCATCTTCTTGCTCAAGCGCACAGGTGAATTTCATTATGGAATCAGAATTCTTTTTAATGTCTGATATCGTAGAAGTTCCGACACCATATGTTTGTGCCAACTTACTGCCAGATTCACCATTTTTTATAGTCTCAATTATCTTCATTTTGTCTTTAACACTACTCTTTTTCGCTTGGAAATTTTAAATTTCCAACACAAAACGTAAACAAAAATAAAAGACAACCTTTTAGTTGAACGCTATCAAAGAAAATGAAACAATAACAAACACTATCCCGCAAACAAATGAGAGCGGGAGTACACCGTTGGAGGCGGGAATAAACTTGTCGTAACATGTCTCGTTGCGCCGTCAAAACATTTTTAAATTAATAATTAGAGCCGAGACGAATGAGTCCGGATAATCGGATATTCGGATAATCGGGATTCTACTGTAGCAATATGTCTAGCAAAAGAGCGCCTAGCTGAGTTTTCTGATTTAGAGGAATGCTTACTAACTGGTTCAAACAGTGTCGGGACAAAAACATGTGTATCTGGGCCTATCTTACGCGAAAAGGCAGAAGAATTTTCAAAATCACTGGCACACATTTATTTTTGTGCCCGCAACGGTTGTTTGGTGAATTTTAAGAAGCGTCAACTTATGTTTAGGAAAGTTTGCGGCGAAAGTGCAAGTGTCAATAACGAGATATGTGATGAATAGATAATTGAGTTGCAGAGTTTATTGAAGGATTATGAACCAAAAGATGTCTTTACTACCGACGAGACTGGCCTTTTTCAAGTGCTTACCTGATAAAACACTTATTTTTAAAAATGAAAAATGTCATGGCGGAAAGGACAGTAAAACGATTAGCAATACTGCTGGCAACAAACATGACAGGCTCTAAAAAACTTGAACCATTAGTTATAGGAAAGGCTAAACAGCCTCGTTGTTTTTCTGGTTGTAAATATCTGCTACTAGACTATGATGCTAAGAAGAAAGACTGGATTACAACCGAAATATTCAAAGGATGGCTCATTAAGTCGACAAGAAAATGATTAAGGAGAAACGAAAAATATTACTTTTCATTGACAACTGTAAAGCTCACAACATAATTCCGCCATTGAAAGCAGTGAAAGTTAATTTTTTCCCCCCCAATACAACATCTAAGCTACAGCCCTTAAATCAAGGAATAATAAAAAACTTCAAATCCGCTTACAAAAAGGAAGTTGTTAGGAAACTAACAGATATAGAACAACAGTCAGCTTTATTTAATGATGTATTGCATGCAATTAGGATGACAGACAAGGCTTGGAGAAGTGTATCTAAAACTATAATATCCAATTGCTTCAAAAGCTGTAAGCTTCAAAATATGAGTGTAGAGGCTGACTGGAATAAACTTCAGAATATAGAAGTTGAATTTGAAGATTATGTGACATGTGATGGAGGGCTAGCTAGAACTAACTGGTGCTGAAATCATCAACATAGTTAATCAGAAAATGAATGACGATGATGTTAATGAAAATGACGTTGATCATACTGATCCAGCAAGTTTTGAACCACCAATAACAAATAAAGAAGCACGAGCTGCAATCAACACACTACGAACTTACGTTGAAAGATGTGATGATATCGAGGATCATGGTATCAGATCATTGTATGAGCTTGAAAAAATAATTGATAAAATATCTGCAAATTGTTTAAATCAAAAGAAGATTTTTTTAGTGTACAGTTTACTTCACTAATATTTACATAATTTGTTTTAATATGTAAAAATATACATATATGTACTATAAAAGTTAAGTTGAATTGTTATTCAAATTTAACTCTACAAATCCAAAAATATACGCGAATATAGAAATCGCGCTTTGGTAAGTCGACATTTCAGCAGTTAAATCATACGTATCTCGAAGTTCTTGTTAAGTCGAAAACTCGCTAACTCGATTTTTTTTGCATTTCCCTTGACATTCGAGTTATAGAGATTCCACTGTATATCCATATACGTTTCTTTTCGAAATTCTTACCAAAATTATAATACTAAACTAAAATATCATATATATATATCGAATTAAGAATACGAAGTGTTCCAACCCCTATTCATCCCGTGGGTGTCGTAAGAGCCGACAAAGGATGCTGATCATGATATTTATAGTATAGAAATATAATATTATATATTTCTTATAGTGAGTTGCTAAAAATATATATATAAATAAAGTTGTAAAAACGAGCTTCTAAGTAAGCTCAAACAAACGACACAGCCATTTAAGATTTAAATAATAATAATATAAATAATAACAACTTTACACATGTCACACACGGTCGTCTGATCCCAAACTAGGCAGAGCCTGTACTATGTTGTACCATTTTTGCACCTGTCTAGAGTGTTTAGGATCTAAAACTGAAATGATTAATAATAAAACCGACTACCGTTCTTTTAACTGGTTTATTGGCTAGAATAATTAATAAGTGAAATATCAGATAACAATCGTGATAAAAATCTTTATATCGCGATGCAGAATTAAGCACAACACCATCTAGTTACAATTTTGCTAACAAAATTTTAAACAACAAACAAAAAATAACATTTAAGTCTGATTCCTACATTATTTCTAAACAATGGTAACCAGGCTGCTGGCGGCACGGGACCCTTTCCTTCCGAATTGCAGTGAGAACTCGGCTCATCGGCACTTCCTGGTAATTTGCCCGGGTTGGGCGTCGCTGCGTCGGTTCTTCGTTGCAGTCATCAGAGGGGAGCTCTTGCGGCCGGCCGTCATATACTCATGACAGCCAGCGACAGATGTTTCACTGCGGTCGCGTCCCTCTGTTAAGACGTCGCAAAATCATGTAGTTTTCGAAGATTTCTCCTACATATTAAAGATAAGCGGTTTAGTAGTCCTAGTCGGGCATCACGACAGTGACGGGGCCTTTTTTCGAGGAGAGGGAGGAAACTGCCTGTCGCGACGGTTACACTTTTATACATTTTTAATTTATAATAATTAATCTCATCCGTAGGTTATCCCTCCATTCCGACCTGCTGTCTCTAGAGCCGACGACGCATTTTACTTTGATTCAGAGTTCACATGTCGCACTCCTCGGGACTCACCGGGGGTGCCGGCCTCAGCCAATGCACATGAACTATTTCGGTAAGCTTTTTATGTTTTCCATTTAGGAATAAATTATTTACATGTCCCTACTAAGAGTATGTTCAATTAAGATTTAGTGGCTAAATGTCACTTTTTATTAAGAATTAAAATAGAAAAAATAGAGAAGCTAGGTCTGAAATAAAAACAGGTCAAGTGCGAGTTGAACTCGTGCGCCGAGGGTTCCGTACCTATCCAGATTTTACGCAGATTTTCGCGAAGTACGTACTATTAAGTACCAAAATTTACCTTAATTTTCAAGTTTCGAAATCCAAATTTAACCATATCTTTCTATCGTGTTGACTCAGGACCTTGATTTTATACACCTAATAGGGACTATAGACCTCAGTATTAGGTATAAATTTCAACTTGCTAGGTCAACCCGTTCAAAAATATCAATGGTGACACACGGACAGACAGACGAACAAGAGAGTGACCTTATAAGGGTTTCTTTTTTAACTTTTGAGGTCCGGAATCCTAAAAACAACTATTATTTCTGCTACGATTTTTTTGGCTCAGCAACTATACTTATATATTGATTGCCTACTTCTACGTTACATACTTCCATCAATCCATTCAAATAACTATATAAAAACAGGTAAAACAAAGCATTTCCGCACATTTCTCTCCCCCCTTTTTTTTTTTCCGTGCGGAAATCCCCTCGGATACCACCTGTCGGTGGCATGTCGGACTCGAACCGACTAAAACCGCACGCCGTCTCGGGTACTAATAGGTATAGGTATACCCTAGAAAGGAAGTCCCTGGTGCCCCGACATACCTCGGGTCATCTACAGACGAGTAGACGACCCCCCCCCCCCCCCCCCGTGTGGGAACCCCATGTTCCCTGTGCTCCCTGGAAGCGAGCGCGCTTCGCAACGCGCTCGCCGCCACCCCGGCCTGCTTCTGCTAGTCACCCCCAGGCCTGCGCTTATGGAGGACGGAGGTCGTTCTGCGACCTCCGGCGCCCGAGTCGCCTGCGGTACCTGGCCCAAACCCGGGCCGGGAGAGTCCAAAACCTCTCCCGGTCCCGCTCCGCCGTCGGAGACGGCAGAGTTTCACGCACTCTCGCTCCGCACGATAGCCGCAATCAGGCTATCGAGCGAGAGAACTCCCACTCCGATGGCCGCCACGAGGTCTCGCCTCTGCTCAACCCACGCCGGGCACTCTGCCAGCGTGTGGAGAGCCGTGTCCACGGTCTGGCCATCGCAGTGGTGGCACTCAGGCGTTGGCTCCTTGCGGATCAGACACAGGTGATCCCCGAAACATCCTTTCCCAGTGATCACCTGCGTCAGTTGGTATGAGAGGGTCCCGTGACGCCTCTCGAGCCAATCCTCCATAACGGGTCTTACCGCCGCGATGACGGCGTGCCCGACATTTCTCTCCCCTGTTTGTACATAGATTTTTTCTTATTTTTACATTGTTTTTTTATTTGAGTAGGTATCGTTATTTATAAAAAAGATTTTTTATTTACCTTTTACGAAGATCGATTTTTTATTATTATTTTAATGTCAGTTGAATTTTGATCGATGAGCATCTACTCGAATTTTTAACAAGAAACAAGAACAAACGTTCTTGTTGCAATATTTGCGTTAACAATGAGGTGAGGCTTCAATTTTATAACTTAAGAGTGCGTCATTGCCAAGAAAAACAAATTGTTTGACTGAAGAGATATCTTATCATAAACACCTATTTCGAGTAGTAATCCATAATTATGATTGCATAACAAAAAGTGTCATAACCACAACACTAGATAGCTAAGGAGGTAAGATTAACGTGGCTGTATGACGTTTGCCTAAATTCACCTTTCAATTAGGTTGAAAATATATTACTTAAGTTCCTTATAGGTTTCGTCGACTAAAAAGAGATATTTAACCGACATGTCTGAGATTCAGTAAATAAAATTGACTAGACTTTTCCGTTATACGATTAGTGTCTTATTCCTAACGTATACGAGCTCTATAGATCAAAACATACTATCTGTTTTGAAGAGAGTTAGAGAGAGAGAGTTACAGAATTTCTATTAAAATTAGCTATTTACAACAGCTATTTAACATGCCTTGGATATGAAATTGGACACTCGTATAGGACATCAGAGGCCTAGTGTTGGTTTATTTCACATCTACTCAATCGTCACGGTGACCGCGTTAGCCGCTGCGATTCGCCTGCACTGAAATGTTCACCTATCGTAACACCGATCGCGGTCATCGTCGAGAGCGAGTTGAAAGTAAATTTTGAAGTGAGTAACAAATAACCAGAATCACAAAATAAAATCTGGTTAAAAAATGTGTAAAATTTTAACATTAGTAACACAACAAATATTATTTATGTATTAGACTGCACGGGTAAAGTAGTGGTTTAAGCGGTTACCTCGCCGCTTCCTACTGCGCTGTGTGCTGTGGTTTCGATCGCCACCCGAGACAACACTTTATGTGATCCAAAAATTGTTGTTCTGAGTCTGAGGCCCGTATTTTAAAAGGTGTCTCAGTCATGAATCTAGTCTTAAAACTAATTTAAAGTAGAGATTTTATTATTCTACGTAACTTAGCTTATTTTAGAACGATGTTTATGTCGAAATCATTACTCAGGTATAGATTTTGACAGCTGTGATCTTTGTTTACGTGAGACAAGCTGAAACTAGTCTCAAGCGGTGATTTCTAGGGCATTTAGGGGAAATGGATGTGTTTTACGGTGATTTGTTTTTGAATAATTACGAAAGATTTACTTTACTTTATTTACAATAGAATTACTTGTCATACTATAATCAATTTCACTTTAATTTACCTTAATTGATATGAAATTTACCAAAATTCACATTTTACACACAATACCAGTTTAAATTACCACAACTTTTTGGTTTATGTTAAAAGTATAGTAATATAAATTTCAGAAATATCAAATAAAAACATCGTTTGACATTTCAACATGACAAGTGTTGATAAATAACTACGTTCAAGTTATTCCGTTATAGCCTATTCATACAGCTAGTCATTTTTATTTTAATATTTATTATATTTAATTTTGAACGAACAACAAGCTTATTAATATGTTAACATTGCTACACTAGCTAATAGTATATTATATACAATTTCACACAAATTATGTTTGTAAAAGAAAATTATTTTTGAAATAATTAGCTGCGTAATGCGGAATAATAATGTCAATCATGCGAAAACGTAATTGAGAACAGACTGTAAGTTCAAATCAATACTTGAAACTAGTTTCATCTGAGTAAAACTTTAAACTAGTTTCAGGCAATCAGAGTTCAACCGACACTTGAGACGTCTTTTAAAATACGGGCCTGAGTGTTCTTAGTGTCCGTTTTATGTATGTTTGTAAAGTCCTGCGCGTCACAGGATCTATTCAAAGTACGAGAGCTGGCTTTAAAAAATGTGTTCATTTAAATTTAAATATAAATAAAGATATAATAAATAAATTAGATAGAATCGAGATAAATTTAGGTAATAGCTAATTATTATTTTTTAAATACGATTGAGATTATGTAAAATCAATTTTATTATTTCAGTGGTTTCAGCTTTGTGGCTCCTTGTTTATTGGACGATGACAATAATAAAACTGTTACTAATGAAAACCAAAAACATGAAGAACAAAATAATAAGACATCCACGGAAGAGTTTTGGGCTGGATTCGTAAATAGAAATAATTTCTTTGATGAATACAGGTAATTTCACAAAACCTTTAATAAAAAATGTATTTTAAAAAAAAAACAATTATTGCATATGACATCCAACAATTTAAGTTAATTAAGCTATTTATTTTTAAGACTGTTCATCAGTAGATGAAATTTGGCCTACAATTCGTAAGGTGGCGAGTTCTTAGGACATTTCTTCTAAATCTTGGTCTACAAAAAAGGTTTAATTGGGAGCGTTCACGAAATTGCCGTCAAATAAAAACAAAAAGAAGTGTTAATAATGAAACTTGGTTTAAATTACAGATTAATGGGAGAACTAGGCACTGGCTCATTCTCGGTCGTACGGCTATGTGAACACAAAACCTCTAAAGTACAGTTTGCTGTTAAAATTATGGATAAATTGCAATATGACCCTCGGGAAGAGATTGAGATTTTGCTCAGGTACAACATGTGTTTACTGGAATTACATTTCTCAGAAATTTATACTAGAAAGATCAGCGAAAACCATTTACCATTTCTATGTGTATATTCTTAATAACTTATGTCACAGCAATCCAGAGGATTATTCAAAACACTTTAAAGGTCCCTGATAAGTTTTCTTTTTTGATAAAAGTTGTCATTTTCACATAAAATAGATTTTATAGAAAAGGTAAAGGTACTGGGTAGGATAAGAAGAGGTACTGCTATAGAGTGCGAGGAACACATGTCTTATTAGTTGTCCTTGGGCAATGGTTGATCTATTAATACTATAAACACTTACGCAATGAACACCAATATCACCGCCACCATCACCATGAGAGAGAAACAACAGGGGACGTCCTAACCGTCACTTTTAACAAAAAATTAAAATCAGCACAATATCAGCTTTTAATACGCCTCTGCCTTCCCCTACGGGGATATAGGCGTCAATGTATGTTTTACTTTACAAAATTAAATATTTTGTGGTTTTTAATCCTGATTGATTTGTAAAATTATTTAATTATTTACTAAAATATGTATGTTTTATGTAGATACAGCCAACACCCTCATATAATTACATTACGTGGTGTGTACGAAGAAGGAGGTCGCATCCTCGCTGTGACGGAGTTGTGTCGGGGCGGTGAACTGTTAGAGCACATCACACAACGTCGATACCTCCCCGAGCATGAGGCTGCCCCCATGCTCAGAAATGTTCTTCACGCAGTGCATTATTTACATAGACACACGGTCGTGCATAGGTAAGCAAGTCTAAGCAAAATTCTTGTTTATTCCCCTAGAATAACTAGTATTAACTATATTTATTCTGCTCTAATTAAAATTTGATTCTTGTAACACAATATTAGGGTTAGTCTGTGCCGAAATAACGACGCCTAAAATAGGCCCTTGCTTGAAGGCACATAAGGCTCTGCCGTATATGCCTCTTATACGACTACCGTACTCAGATATTAGAAATGTTGACAAATTTTGTGCTTTTTGTTAGATAGCGAGACCCTTTTTAACTCAAATATAAGTCATTCTATATTTAAAAATATATTGGATCATAAAGAAATCTTTCCTTTGGAGCTAAAACAGTCATTTCGAGTTTGATTAAGCTATTAACCATTAATTGTTAGTTCTCAAAGTAGTGTAAATAAGGAAACAATAAAAAATATTATAAAAACCGACTAAAATTTCGAAGAATAACCACCTATCATTCAAAATCAGTCTGTAGCTGTTGCCGTAGTTTTTCCTTTATAACACCTAGTTGCATTCTATTTTGCACCTATATTGGTATTCATAAAAAGTGCAAGAGAGACTCATATCTCGTAGTGGACGTCCAATCGCGGCAATGATTAAATAATTAATTGTAAAAATAATTATTAGAAAGCAATTGTTTGCGTGTGTGTTCTTGTTTTAATGGTATTTTACAGAACCAAGAAATAATTTTACAGAGATATAAAGCCGTCAAACATTCTATTCGCCACATCGGAAAAGAGACCAGAAGACATTCGTCTGGTAGACTTCGGTTTAGCCAAACAGCTCCGCGCTGAGAACGGTCTTCTGATGACGCCTTGCTACACTGCCAATTTTGTGGCTCCTGAAGTGCTGAAAAGAGCTGGTTACGATGCCGCTTGTGATATATGGAGTTTAGGTATGGTATACAATAAGTTGTTGTTCTTTCACTTCGTAAATATCTATAAATCTATACAAATAAATAAAATTGATGTGTTTGTTTGTAATATCAACATAATAAGTTTTTTTTAATGCTCACACGTATATTTGCACGATACCTATGCTTAAAAACCAGTTGAAATATTTTTTGTCTTTCTGTCTGTCTTCTCTCTGTCCGTTTGTTCCGGGTAATCTTCAAAACGGCTGGACCGATTTAGATAATATTTTACTACCAGGTAGCTGTCTATATAAGGAGTAACTTAGGCTAATTTTTTTCTCAGAAAACCCTATAAAATTTTGCCCGATCCGGGAATTGAACCCACTAAGGCAGCGCTTTTTAAATTTCATGCAAATGAAGTGGCGGGCACAAACTAGTATAAATATTTTGGAAAATGATAAAGATTTAAGATTCAAATTATATCAAAGTCATTTATTTAAATTACAACAAGTATTTTTGGATTGTCAGCATTAAGTAGTATTATATAGACTAAATTAGTTTGTAAAGTTAGTTGCAGTTGTTGTTAAGAACCCTATGGTACAAAGTATGTTTACATTTACTTACAACGAAATCTTGCTTTCAACTTCTAACTTTTTTTATTCTGCTTTACAATCGATGTCTCTTTAAGGTTCCGGTTTTACTTTTAGTAATACTAAAAAAGTTGCCTAGGAATTAATCGTAAAATCATAAAATTGTACTTTCGCAAGTATGGAGGTAATTTAACCGAAGTCCATCACTGTGATCGTTAAGTTTACAGATATATAGGTATCGCGATAGAAAATCAAACGTTAGATACTGAATCTATAATTTAAGACGAATACGTCGGCGCGTCGCACACCGAACGCACAGCGTACTTTCGAGAGCTCGAACTAATGCACGTTAACGATCGATCGACAGGCGTGCTGGCCTACATAATGCTCTCCGGAAGGACCCCGTTCGCGTCGACCGGGGACGACACTCCGGAAGCGATACTGGCGAGGATCGAATCGGGGAAGGTAAGGCGGAGAGCCTCGTCCGGCTAGGGCCAGGCGCGAGAGGGAGGATACTAAAAGGCGAGCGCCTCCCGCAGGTGGACCTGTCGAGCGGCCCGTGGCGCGAGGTGTCGGCGGGCGCGCGCGCCTGCGTGCGGCGCATGCTGCAGCTGGAGCCGGGCGCGCGGCCCCGCGCCGCCGACCTGGCGCGCGAGGCGTGGCTCAGCGCGCCGCCGCCCGCGCCGCCGCACCCCGCGCCGCCGCACCCCGCGCCGCCGCCCGCCGACCTGCGCCGCGCCGTCGCCCTCACCTTCCAGGTGCGTCTCTTGCCGACTGTGGCGCCCGGGCCAGTTCGATTGCGATACTAATCGTTAAATACTATTCGTTTAAAGTTGGGATCGCTTCGATATTATATTTATTACCTTTGTTTTTTCTAAAAACAGGTAAAATGCATAAAGTTAAACATTTTACATAGAACATATGAATTATCCATATCGAGAAAATCCAAAAGAAACCAATTTCATAAATTATGCAACCCCTAGCACCCTTTGATTCCCCTAGGTCACACATGCATGCACCACTCGTGGCTGTCTCCTCAGGCTCCGACCGAGGAGATCGACGTGGGGGCTGGTCGCTTTCGCGATGCGATTACGCATGTCTGCGATGCGGCCATGCCCCGCATTCGAGGTCGTCGGCCTCCAAGGAAGGAGGTCTACTGGTGGTCCCAGGAGCTGGCGGACCTCCGTGCGGCCTGTACACGTGCCCGGAGGTCCTACACGCGCAGTCGGCGGCGTCACCGTGGAGACGGTGAGGAGGACCGGCTTCATGAGGAGTACCGAGAGGCGCGGAAAACTCTGAAGCTGGCCATTAGCCGCGCCAAAGAGATAAAGAGAAAGGAGATGCTGGAGGGTCTCAATCGTGACCCCTGGGGTCGCCCTTACCGCGCGGTGCGACAAAAGCTCCGCGCGTCGGGCCCCCCCTTACGAGACTCCAGCCCAGCTTCCTGCGAGAAGTGGTTGAGGGCCTTTTCCCGCAACGAGCGGAACACACTCCCCCGGCGATGGCCTCCTTGGCCGGAGACGACGGGGAGCACGAGGAGGATAATGTTCCGCCCGTCCGGGATTCGGAGGTAGGGGCGGCTGTTCTACGGATCCGTTCCAAGAACACCGCCCCTAGGCCAGACGGGGTACCGGCCCGAGTGCTGGCCCTAGCCCTCAACCACATGGCAGACAGCCTCGGGGAGGTGTTCGACGCTAGCTTGGCGTCGGGACGCTTCCCTGAGTGCTGGAAGAGCGGGAAGCTGGTCCTATTAAGGAAGCCGGGACGGCCTGCCGATTCGGTCGCGGCCTACAGGCCCATCGTGCTGCTGGACGAGGCGGGTAAATTGTTTGAGAGGTTTCTCTCTGCCCGCATCGTCCGGCACCTCTACGAGGTGGGCCCCGATCTGTCGGACGCCCAATTTGGTTAGGCGGAGCGTTCGACAGTCGACGCTGTGTTGCGCCTGAGGGCCGTGACCGAAGAGGCCGTTAGCTGTGGCGGCGTGCTGTTGGCGGTGTCATTGGACATCGCCAACGCATTCAATAGTCTGCAATTCAGCTGCATCAGGGAAGCACTCCACTATCATGGGGTGCCAAAGTACCTGAGGCGGCTAGTGGCAGACTATTTAGAGGAGCGTACCGTCGTGTACGAGGACCGAGAGGGTAATTTGAGGTGTCGGCCCATGTCGTGCGGTGTTCCACAGGGGTCTGTTCTTGGACCCCTCTTGTGGAACATAGGATACGACTGGGCCCTTCGAGCCGATTTCCCCCCTGGGCTGGGTGTAATTTGTTAAGCAGATGACACTCTGGTGACAGCCCGGGGGGTGAACTTCCAAGAGGCGGCGCGCCTGGCCACAAGGGGAGTCTCGCTGGTGGTCGGGCGCATTGAGGCGCTGGGCTTACGGGTGGCCCTAGATAAGACGGAGGCCCTGTTATTTCATGGGCCCCGTCGTGGTCCACCCCCTGGCGCCTCAATCGTGGTCAACTCGGTCCTCGTACCGGTTCGGGCCCAGATGAAATATCTGGGCCTGATCCTCGACGGGAGGTGGCTCTTCGACGAGCACTTCCGACAGCTTGCTCCAAAGCTGGTCGGCGCTGCGTCTGCCCTAGGGCGACTTTTGCCCAATTTGGGTGGACCCGGCGTCGCGACAAGACTGCTGTACACGGGGGTTGTCCGGTCAATGGCACTATACGGTGCACCGGTGTGGGCGGCGGCTCTGACCGCCCAGAATAGGGCACGCCTCTGGCGCCCTCAGAGGGTAATGGCGGTCAGAGCCATACGCGGTTACCGCACCGTGTCGACGGAGGTGGCGTGCGCGTTGGCCGGAACTCCCCCGTGGGATTTGGAGGCGGAAGTGCTCGCCGAACTTTATCGGCGAGTGGCTGACTCCCGGGCGGAGAGCGGATTTCGCCCTCCGCCCGAGGATGTGCGCGAGTGGCGCGAAGCCGCTCGCCGAGCCACAATGGCTCGTTGGTCGTTCCGGCTGGAGACTCCACGCGCTGGCTTCGCCGCCGTGGAGGCTCTCCAGCCGGTCATCGCCGAGTGGGCAGGGCGGCAGCACGGGACCCTTTCCTTCCGGCTGACGCAGGTGCTTTCCGGGCACGGTTGCTTCGGAAAGTACCTGCACTCGGTCGCTAGGAGGGAACTGAGTCCCGCCTGCCACCACTGCAACTGCAGTGAGGACTCGGCCTGGCACACGCTGGCGGTCTGCCCCGCATGGGCGACGCAGCGCCGGGCCCTCACTGCAGTCATCGGAGTGGATCTCTCGCTACCGGCCGTAGTACGCTCCATGGCCGGTAGCGACAGTTGTTTTACCGCGGTCGCAACCTTCTGCGAGGAAGTAATCGCAGAAGGAGGCGGCGGAGAAGGCCCGGGAGGACGACCTCCACTCGGACCCGATCCGCCGCCGGCGAACCGGGCGGCGGAGGCGCGCCTATCACCGCCTCATGCCGCCCTGAGTGTGGCCGCGGGTGGACGGGGTGGGTTTCCCCTCCACCCTTTTATTGATTTGTTTCATGAGTACATAGTGTACGAAACTTAGGATAAAGCATCGTTTCAAAGTAGCTAGAGCTCGTAGGTAGAAGGTTTTCAAAATGGATCGAAGTAGTGCGACAAACTTAGGCAAGTATGCTTAGTTAAAGAAATTTGATTCTGCAGTTTACTTTCCGTACATTACTTCACTTGAAGAAGAAAAAAGAATGCCCATCTCTCATACATTGTATGGCCCAAATCCCGATATAGCGTTACAATTTCAAACTAGTGCCATTAGCTAGGTATAAAGGCGCACTTTAGACTGACATAGTTTCATTCCATTGAAAATTGTATAATCAAGAATATGGCCCCAAATCTATAGTAGGTTATGTTGTTTGCAATATATTTTTAGCACACAGCAGTAAAGTAAAGCAAATTCAAACTACTAAAGCAGTCGAAGTTGTTAAAATAATAACACCAGAGGAATAGAAATGCAACAGAAACCGAGAAAAATAAATGCACTTGCACATTCAGATTTCGGCGGCATTTCTTATATTGACATTTATACTAATACTACTAATAAAAAGACAGTGTTACTTCTTTATTTAAGAACTAATACTGTCTTTTAATCAATTACACGGGGAAATGAATGAACTTGACAAAAATATTATTTTTAATTAACAACTGTAAATTCAAATTATTCTTTGTGTTTTGGATAGACATTAAATATCATATTTTTTCATTGTTTGTTATTCTGTAACATGTTGGTCAAAAAATGGACTATCTCCTTTATTCAATAAACAAAAGTGTAAAATAAATAATAGTAGAATGAAACTTCTTCAAAGGTTTTTTCTTCTTATACAAATATAAATACTTTCAGCAATTTAAATAAGTGTTCCATTTATTTTGCTACTATATCTAAACTTGTATCAATGTCAATTATAATCTGATATTTTTAGAAGCCAACCTGCACAATTCTTGAAGCGTTTTTAAAACTTTATTAAATAAGGTTTCCATTTGTAGGCGATGACGGCGTCGCCCTTGACACCACAAGTGCTGGGTCCGGTATCGCAGTCGACTTTGGCGCAACGCCGCAGTAAACCCCAGCGATGTTTTCCACCGACGCAACTCTAAGCCAACCCTAGCTCTTATATGATATGTTCAGTATCTCAGAGACCACAGGATGTAAAACGATTGTATTTAAAATAAAAAAATAAGTCGCCGCAATCTGTACAACTTATATAGATTCGGAAAGAAGGTGATATTTGCGACTTTTTACATTTACAGTCAAAAATATAGACTTTAATCGAAGTATTAATCTTTTGTGCGATACAATTTAGTTTTTGAATATTTTGTATTATTCATACTATAAATTATGCACACGAATGTGGTTATTTTAGATTGTTTTTTATCTAAAACAATTTTTCGAAACATTCCACATGACACAATGGCATAAAGTTTCAGTAGACACGTCATTCCAGCGGTGTTAAAAAGTGTAAAAATGCTCTTTCGCATTCGCACGGTATTTGGCTAATGAATAACACAACGTAATGTGAAAGTCGTCTTCCTATGAAATGTTAAAAAATTAAAAGCATTCTGTCCCACCTATTATAGTTTTTGATACTACTCTTCCTGTGCCATTACCTTATTTAATATACTCTGCATATTGCTCTATAAAGGCTTGTATTAAGTGCAATATTTTTTTCAATTGTACATCCTTTCAAAATCTAATAACTAAAAATAGTATGGTTATTTTTATACAGTATTGTCTCCTAAGTATTGCTGGATAAATATACTTGTAGATACTCAATTATTCTTCTAGTTCCCTTAGTTTTTGATGTTATTGGTGTAATAAAATATTGTTTATATTTTTGTAAGAAAGTATCATTAGATATAAGTATAGTGTGTAAAGAATAAGTTATACTTGATGAAGAAATTTAAAAGACAGATTCATTCACCTTAACAATCTATTGACATGTTATAACTTATAAGGATTCTATTTTTGCAATTAATATTACAAAATATCAGAATAATCAATATTATTATATTTATACCTGTATTAATGTTATACTTTATAATATAAAAGTTTGTTATGATCTTTATTTACACCACATTATTATGATAACTGATTTTATGTACGGATATTTTTAGTGCAGACAAAGCGAACACTTAATGGTGGTAGAATATTCATAATCATCTTCATATCAATGAGGCCTAACTTGCTCATAAATTAACATTTGCAATTACCTACCCCCACAATTTCATTTTTTAATATGTAATTTAATGTAATTAATATTATATTACACACATTAAGCTAATATATTTCTTTATTTTTGTTATTCGCCATAGAGGATAGAAGAACTAAGTCTAACAGATCAGTTAACCATAACTTAACTGTGCCATTCCCTGTACTTTACGTGTTTCTAGTAATCATGTCTACTATTAGCATAACCCATATTTATTTTAAACTAAATATTGATTGTATACGATCATCGTACTATATTTGTATAAGCATATCTAAATAATTTATATTATTTATAAACATACAACCAACCCCATTTATTTGAAGCAACAATCTTTAAGAGAAGACTGGGATCACTTAAAAAAAAAACAGTCTTCTGCTGTGCACTAAGGCGAGACTGAAAGTAGTGTTTAGCCATTTCGATGTATTAAGACTTTACTACGTACGGGCTACGTTGGTAAAGCGTAGGGGTACCTAAGTTAATAGAGACTTCTCATCATCTTTCTAACCTTTTCCCAAATTTGTATATTACTACATTTTTTTTATTTTATATAGAAAGAGAAAAAAAAAAACATACAATGGATATATTTAACGTTTTGGTGAAAAAAAAACATCGAAATTATATACCTACATCATTTAAAGTAATTAAGATTCATCAACATTCATCCATCTCTTTTAGTGTCTTAACTCATCTTTAAGTACATAACCGAAAATTAGTCAATCGACTAGAAAAGTTTCATATGACGCTGGGTTTGTCGAGAATAAAAATGTAAATGACGGCCCGAGGGAGTTGCCACACGTAAAAAAAAGAAAAAAAAATGGCATGTTCCTCTTGAACGAAAAGTGCCAATCTTTCTCTAACGCTTTCCATCTTAACCATCTTTATTCCAAACTTATTAATAATACATAATATAAAGACATTGTTCAATCAGCATTCTCTAAAAACAAAAATAATTTACATGATATCTTGCCCTTGCGATGATGATCAGTGCTCCAAAATTAGACCATAATTTATGACCTCCATCTGTAGTTCAACCGCATAATATACTAATTTTAATTAAGGGTTTAAACGTAACTGTTGTCAATATCTTCACCGCGATATCCAAATTGATTACATAATAAACTGAGTTTTGATTGTGCCTGTACATGTTCGTTTAATTTGTACCAAACACTAGATTTGCACTATAAAATAATGTTGTGTTGAATGGTATTATACCAAAGAATAGATATTTATACTTATAATGTTTTACTGTAACAAGGTAAAAATATACGTAGATTTCTAGTTTTATCTTTGTTGTATAATAATGTGTATGTAATATTTGATAGTTGTTCTATTTATCTTAATTGCAATTTATATTATGACCATATACGTGTATTGGTTATGATAAATACTATATTTTTTTGTATGCGTACAGCCAAATGGACAAAACTTAAGTATTTCAATATGAAAATAAGTTACAATTTTCGAAAAATATCCTTTAATTTGGAAGCGGAACGGTGTCCGCTCGTGTAACTAAAGAGTATTAAATTACTAGTGCATACGTGCTTATTGTATTTATTAAGATAAGAGTAAGTATTTTAACACATTCGACATCATACATATCCGCACGAGAAAAATGATTAAGTACATATAGTATTTTATTAAATTAGCCAGAATATTATTTATGTTACCTGAAGATCAATTAGTAGGTAATTTCATGTAAGATATTGTATACATTCAGTTACAATATGATTCAACATAAATAAATTACATTTTTGAAGTTAGTTTAATAAACTAGTAACCGATCAAGTAAAAACCTTTTAGACTTCGGTATAAATCAATGCAGAATGTTAATTAAAAAGCCACCATACTACTAAACACATTTATTCCTGGCAAGTATGTAGTTGATGCATAATAAAAGCATTTGGATTATTTACTTTATTTTGCCATTGACTGATTTAATTAAACATGCCATAATTAGTTGGATCGAATCGACAATTTTGAGGCTAACCCCGAGAGCGATGGTAGCCTACCAACTAACTGCTGTCTAAAAAGGTGATATTTCGGAAGGTACATATTATTCACATTTAAGGTACAAATTTTGCTATCGTTACACAGACGCATTGGTTTGATTAATTAGCGCTAATTATTAAATATTTCACAAAGAAAGCTGATCTATATTATTTCGATTTAATTCAGCCCAACCTTGCAGTTTCGCTAAGGCCCTACACCTTAATGATTTTACTATACTTCTGGAAAGAAATCTTCTTTCTTGTTTGTGTGTGAATTACCTGAGCCAAACGTCACCAAAATATAATATGTATCAAGTTATTTCAAAGTTTTAGTATAAGTCCAGAATATTAACTCTGGTTTTCTTTTGATGTAAATGCATTATAATTCTAATAAAACATTAAAAGTACAAACATCAATAATCTGCCCACAATGACGATGCATAATAACTAATAATGTAATTCATAATACATTGTTAATACAGAACATACTTAATTAAAAGTCTCAGTATTTGTTTTAATGAGATAAATAAAAGCGCAAAATTTACATTAACTAAGTATTAATACATAAGGTACACTTAGTAAGCATATCTCATTTTTGCGAAAACAAGCACATTATAACTTATCACAATTAATTTAAATATATAAAGCACTTGTCCAAGTTGTATTAATAGGGAATAGTTATAAAAATCTATTAACATAAAGAATCATGTTTTCTTAGACATTTAATCTTAGGAATTGCATTGTATCCGAATAAGTACCTACGTTATAAACAAAGTCAAACCTTTTCGTCTCAAGTTAACCTTAAATTTTAAAATATCTAAAAACTTTTTTTTTTTAGAAAACTGGTATAGGTAACTTACATTTTATTTAATATCTAGAACATTTTTAACTAATCAAACAAGGCATATATAATTACATTGTAAGTACTTACTTATTTCGTATTACTTTATTGTAGATACTACGATAGATTAAGAATATATTTAGGCCAGTCCGCTAGGCTAGTCCTAAATGTATTAATTTATTCCTTTATTTATTGGAGTAATACAGTCTATTATTAAGAGGTCACTCATAGCCAGTGTCATCATGTAATACGGCTATGGTATATGATAAATACCTATCGTTCGCAATTTAGGTTTGAATTATTTTATTGTAATTACGTAACTGAAAGTCATGCACCCAATAAAGTAAAGGAACTAATTACCCCAGCGAAATCCGTTTTTTAAATCTGTCGGTCGACATACGTAAGTCGATTTATAGACCCCTTTTTACTTTGTTCAACCACTTAATAATTGGCGGTCAACTTAGTCTGTATAGATTAAACTCTTCAAATACATGATATTGATTGATAATAGTTTTCAACCGATGGTAAGCACAACATGCAACTATTTAAATTAGGTTCAAGTGTGGTGACTGGTCTACAATATTATAATCATTCACATTGAACCGAGCTTGCCTGCACGTATGTTAATTAATTATAAAGGCATGTTTGTCTAATGGCTCGTAATACGTTGATGTTAAAGTAGATATTTTCTGCGTACCTAAGAGTCACATGTTAAATTTAAAACTGATTCAGATTACACAAAGTAAAATTAAGACCACAACTAAAGGAATTGCGAATAACCTAGAGTGAATTATAGAACTTAACCCCTATTTTCCCCATTAGCATAGATATTATTCAGTTTGTGGTCTTAATGTTTATATAATGTCACATCTATTTTTCTATCTTAACGGGAAATAAAATTTCTACATAGTGAATTATGATGGCAAATTGTTATATAGAATCACATATTAGATTTATGATGGCAAATTGTTGTATAGAATCACATATTAGAAATTTAATATAAATATTGTTGATATTGCTTAAATTGTTGTTTTATTTTTGGTGTTTTGCCTCGATTCA